GCCGACCAGTCCTTGTTTTAGCCCCTTAATGCCGAGCGCCAGACAGGGTAACAACAAGTATCATCTTTTAACGTCTTTTGGTATGACGCGGCCAGGGATTGAACCCCGGACCTTCCGCTCTCCGGGCGGACGCTCTACCACAAGACCACGGAGGCGGTTACTGATGGCTGGAGCACCTAAGTGACCAAAGTGCAATACGATAAGCTTTTATATTAACATCGTATAAATAATTTTCAAATACAATATGAGATTTCAATGATCTGTACAGATCTAGCTTGGAAATTTTTTGAAGATTTGACAACCACATTTGTTGATCAATATCGATACATCTTTGTTTAAATGAAGCCAAAAACTGATTTACATTTCCAATATTCTGAGCCTCCCAAACAGTTCCAAAACCATAGTTGTATAGCAGCATTTTCACATCTAGGGCCCATGATTTGATATTTTCATTTGCAAAAGATAATTGGTAATTATACACATGTTTTAGAATACCGTTTTCTTCTTGATGAGGTGAGGTGAGGTGAAATTGGGTTTAACGTCGCGTCCAAGATTATTACACTTATATAGAGACGTGCATGCACGTGTGTGTGTGTGTGTGTGTGGCTGCTTGTACTAGTCCGGACTGATGCCGATTTATAGTGCTAGCACACTGAGATACCATGCCGCAGTTTAACATGAATACCCCACTCAGACACAGTATACTGACTCCGAGCCGACCAGTCCTTGTTTTAGCCCCTTAATGCCAAGCGCCAGACAGGGTAACAACAAGTACCATCTTTTAACGTCTTTTGGTATGACGCGGCCGGGGATCGAACTCTGACCTGACCCATAATGGGATGTCTCCAGATCTTTGTTTAGCAGTAGCGTGAACTAAGATCTGATTTAATGAGATTGACCACAACCCATAACAGAGTGTCGAATAGGCTACACATTTATCAAAGCCCCAAATGTAATTCCGGAGAGGAGGGTGTATCCTATACCCTTACTGTGTTGATGGCAAGACGAAAATGGGAATCGGACTGCGTCATCGTTTCCCGCCGTCGATAGTGGTTCATGCTATCGACCACTGGTTTGTCTGATTCAGATTCGATGCAACCGTCGTAATTACTGACTGTAGCGTTAAATGGCTTTCAATAGCTAAACCCTGTATCTTATGCACAGTGGCATGGATACGTTGCCTTGGGCGATGTTGATCGCTTCATATCTATCACAAGGTGGGGGCACGGGTGGCCCAGTCGTCTAAGTCGCCGCGATTCGCTGTGCAGAGTTGCGCCAGAAACCTATGATTGTGGGTTCGAATCTCGGTTCGCCCAAATTATGTTTCTAGGTTTGTCAGCACCATACCCGTGCTCGTGGGTTTCACCGAAGTGATAAACGTCTGGGACCTGCATCACTTCGGGCTTTCCTCCCACATTAAGCTGACACGCCGCGATATAACTGGAATAATGTTAAAAGCGGCGTTAAACCCAACTCACTCACTCACTATCACAAGGTGAGGTGAAATGGGGATTAACGTTGCGTCCAAGATTATTGCACTTATGTAGCGACGTGCATGCACGTGTGTGTGTTTGTGTGGCTGCTTGTACTAGTCCGGACTGATGCCGATTTATAGTGCTAGCTCACTGAGATACCATGCCGCAGTTTAACATGAATATCCCACTCAGACCAGTCCTTGTTTTAGCCCCTTAATGCCGAGCGCCAGACAGGGTAACAACAAGTTCCATCTTTTAACGTCTTTTGGTATGACGCGGCCGGGGATCGAACCCCGGACCTTCCGCTCTCCGGGCAGACGCTCTACCACAAGACCACGGAGGCGGTCATTTTCTTCTTGGTACAACAACCGTATCCAAAACTTAATGATTTTAACAAAACGGTTTACTTGAAGAGAGTATCGACCAAGCTCTCCACGAGCAACAATGTTAGGTGTAAATCTGCTAAGATCCAAAATAGTTTTACAAAATACGTCATGAAATCTTTCAACATCGGGTGAAGTGTGGAATCCCCACACTTCACTTTCGTAGTTTAGAACTGGGGAAATTTTAACATCGAAGATGTATAGTAATACTTTCAAGGGCAATTTAGTGAAGTCTGCAATTTTAGATTTTAAACACTGGAGGTTTTATTAGCTTGCAAAGCTAAAGTATTTTGTGTGTTGTACCAAGATCCTGAGCTTGACAAATGAACACCCAAGTACTTATAGGTAGGGACAATATCCAAAGCGTCATCCTTTAGAAAAAAACTTTTCAAAAGATTTCGAATTTACATATACTACGTTGTCATAACAGGCGACTATGCTTGTCAGGCGACTAACGGGATCGGGTGATCAGGCTTGCTGACTTGGTTGATGCATGTCATCGTATCCCAATTGCGTGGATCGATGCTCATGATATCAATCACTGAATTATCTGGTCCAGACTCGATTATTTACAGACCGTTGTCATATAGCTGAAATAATGCTGAGTGCGGCGTTAAATAACAAACAAAAAACCCCGTTTAATCTACAGATAGCATGCTGAAGAAGAATATAAATCCCCGTTAATAAACGGATTATCAATTTGCCTTATTGTTAGTAAAACTTTTTATTTAATTATTAATTCCGCAGAATGTCTTCACTGTCGTTGCAGATAAATGTTCGTGGCGGTTCGAATCCCGAAAATGTTTCTCATCAGGTTGTTCTATCGCCAATCAGAGGCAAAGACGAAACCCCACCAGTGCCAAGTCATATTTAACAAACAGTTCAGTTAGTTGATGCCTATTAAAAGATAAAGTAGACATGATTTAACATTAAATTTTTGACATTTTGTCAAGAAAATGTAGGCACGGTTTAATAATTCATACTGAGTTGTAGGTTCTTCTGATCATCCATGTTGTCATTATTTTAAAACTCGACCTACCTTGTACCTATGTCGAGAATTGAACCCGAGTCTTCGGCGTGACAAGCGAACGCTTTAACCACTAGGCTACGCCACCGCCCCTGAAAAACAGTAGAACTGATAGGGACATGGAATATGCACTAGTATATATCCATTACATCGATTATTAGTGGCAATCAATTTATTTTTATTATATACTTCAGTGTGAAAGACTGAGTTTTCTGAAGTTGAGAAAAGTGATATTTTCATTGCAGTGAACATAACACTTGATATTTCACTGCAGTGAAACATAACACCTGATATTTCACTGCAGAGAACATAACACGTTGACGGAACTATGTTGGCCTACACGAGACAGCTCGTACACAAACTGTTGATTTACGTCAGTTCAACGTTGACAAGTCATATAATGACAGATGGTCATTTATGTAGTTAATACCGATTCTTACCGTTTGTTATTTTGTTGAAAATGATTTGTATTAAACTGTGAATTTCTCTTCTGATTTGTCAGTCGATACTTTACGTTTCGCAAATCGCCATTTTGTTACTTGAATTGCGTGTATTCTTTCGCTTCGAACAACGTTAACCGTCTCATTGATTTGAAATTTATTTTTTGATGAAGTTGATTTTGTATATAATCATATCCAAATTTATACTAAAGAAATTTAGTGACATCAAATATTTTTGGTTATTTTTGTTTATATTTGTTAAGATTTAGCAAAGACGGAACTACATTTTTAGTCGTACTTACAGGGGGTGGAAAACCGTCCATTTGTGTTATGTAGGGAGAATTTACGCTTGAAGGTTTTACATTTGTAATGAAATAATTTAATCTTCCTGCAGACAACTACACCAAAAGAATATAATAAATAGGATATTTCATGTGTCGAGTGAAACATCATGTTTCTCTCACCGAGTGACGGAGGGAAAGAAGATATTTTCACGAGTGGCGTAGACACTCGTGACGGGGGGAAAGGAGATATTTTCACTCGTGGCTACGCCACTCGTGAAAATATCTTCTTTCCCTCCGTCACTTGGTGAGAGAAACATGATATTTCACTCGACACATGGAATATCCTCCATATCCTGCCCAGTCTGTTGCACCCGTCATAAGCACATACAAAGGCAAGTCGAATGTTTTCCCTGAAAATTGAAAAAAGCACGGGAACATATGGTACAAGTCAATTAGGGAATTGCATCGGAAATATCCTCCACATATCTACCGTGAAACCTTTGAAAGTTTTACTGAGGACTTGCATCCTGTAACCCTGATCAAACATTTTGAGTCGTTTGACGCTCTTTGATATCTTTGAAGAAAGAGCATGCTAGATTGTACCTCAAAGTTGTGAAATGTAGACAGGTCTGAGCTGCTGGAATATTGCTCGACATGACGGGAAAGTTGACTGTATTTAGATGGGTGAAATGGACTACAAATTGAAATGCCTCCATTACTCGTGTCCGGATAAGTTATAGAAACACTTCGATGTGACGGTGTTGGAGCATTATAATAGGGTTCAAGGTTAAGTTCGTCCACAGCAACCTATCCTAGTTGTAAGAGGCGACCAAATGGATCGGTTGAAAGCTTTGCATCGTATCCTGACAGCACGGAGTTTCTGGTCGCTGTTTTTATAGGCCGCCTCTGTACAGCTGGGATATGGGCTGATTGTGGTGTTAAATGACAAACAGACAAACATGTCACGTAGATATTAGCATCAATATGAGGATACATCATAGCATAGATGATGTTTGTTTGTTTTTTAACGGCTTTTAAGCAACACTCCAGCTATAAACACGGCGGCAAACAATCACCCAGATCACTCTATCACTTCGTCGCCTCGCACGCCAAGCAGTGGTTACTGGGGATGTTCGAGAAAATTAACCTGGAATCCCCATGGAGTGACCTGATTGGGACTGAGGTTACTACAGGGATCTATTAGTATCTATCCTGGTAGAGCGTAGGTCTTCAGCAACCCATGCTTGCCGTAAGAGGCGACTCGATTATTTACAGACCGCCGTCATGTATCTGCAATATTGCTGAGTGCGGCGTTAAACAACAAACAAACAAACAAATAAACAATACTAGTATTCTAACCTGGAGTCTCCACTGGGTTGTTCTCATTGCAGTCCTGTCTACTTCATCGTCGCCCCCAACATCATCCACGTCGATACAGATGAAGTCGTCACCGTGACGACGTACGGCGTTGAGGAAGAGGTGACGATACGGCTTTCGTTGTTGGACTTTCCTAAAAGCACAGTTGTCCATTTTGAGCAGGAGATCACAGTATCGTCAAGTAAGCGTAACACGTATCTTGTGTGACACCAACTTAGTGTTTAGTATTGACACTGGTCTTAAACGTGCCGTAGAATTGACGTCATTTATCAATGTTCCTCACACTCTAGATGGCGCTCCATTAGTAATGACGTCACCCGCAAATGTTGATGAACGTTCAGATACACTTGATGACGTTCCAATATTACTTACGTCAGACACTATGCCAGTTCACATATATTAGATGACCGCAATATCCGTGATGATCTGGGTCACATTCAACGCTTGCCGTAAGAGGCGACTATGTTTGTCGTAAGAGGAGACTTACGGGATCGGGTGGTCAGGCTCGCTGTTTTGTTTGATGCCTGCCATCGTATCCCAATTGCGTGGGTCGGTGTTCATGATATCAATCACTGGATTGTTTGATCCAGACTCGATTTACAGACCGCCGTCATGTAGATGGAATATTGCTGAGTGTGGTGTTAAACAACAAGATGACGCCATGTTCTGTTGTTTCACATATGCTGGATGACGTCATGTACTAATTTGTTTCAAGTATATTAGATGACGTCATGTACTAACTTTGTTTCAAGTATATTAGATGACGTCATGTACTAACTTTGTTTCAAGTATATTAGATGACGCCATGTACTAACTTTGTTTCAAGTATATTAGATGACGTCATGTACTAACTTTGTTTCAAGTATATTAGATGACGCCATGTACTAACTTTGTTTCAAGTATATTAGATGACGTCATGTACTAACTTTGTTTCAAGTATATTAGATGACGTCATGTACTAACTTTGTTTCAAGTATATTAGATGACGTCATGTACTAACTTTGTTTCAAGTATATTGGATGACGTCATGTTCTGAAGTTGTTTCACATATACAAGATGACGTCAAGTACTAATGTTTTACACACATTAATACATATATATATATTTTTGTGTTTGACATACATGACGGTGGGTTTACACACTGTGTTTCTAATGTAGGTTTTGGGTTACTTGTAGATTTAACCGCGCTAATCTGAAATTGGAACCAAACTCGCATTATGCTTATCTTCATTTTTCCCTGACTAAATAAAACGCGAAATCTTTGGTGTTAGCGAGTATATTCAGTGAAGCGGCATGGGTTGAGTCCAGTGTTTTGAGTGGGTTGTCGATCTGAATTACGGGATCACCGACAACAGCCTTTGAACAAAATATGGCGCTGTATATGCTCAAGCAGTTTGTTTACATCGTAATACACTCAGAACCTGCGCACGGTTCCAAAAGCAATTTAGCGCGATTAAATCGACAGGTTCTCCATTGAAAACACAGCATGTTTATCTTCTAATTAACCACCTCTGAATGAGTGAGTGAGTGGGTTGGGTTTATCGCCGCTTTTAACAGTATTCCAGTTATATCACGGCGTGTCAGCTTAATGTGGGAGGAAAACCCGAAGTGATGTAGGTCTCAGACGTTTACCACTTCGGTGAAACCCACGAGCACGGGTATGGTGCTGAGAAACCTAGAAATATAATCGGGGCGAACCGGGATTCGAACCCACAATCATACGTTTCTGGTGTGTCCAAGGGACGCAATTCTGTACAGAGAATCGCGGCGCCTTAGACGACTGGGCCACCCGTGCCCCCTCACCTCTGAATGACTAATCAGAACCAAATCATTTCCAAATCCACGGTAGAATTGCTATTTAATGTTATTTTACGTATACCAGATGACGTCGTCAATGCCACAATCCGCCTCCCGCTGTCAGCCCTGCCACAGACGAAGTTGGACCCCTTCTACGTGTCGCTGGTGGCGGAGTGCACGGCCCTGGCGCTGTCCTTCAGGCAGGAAGTGCCAGTCCTGGTGGACGACAGCCCGGGGGTCATCTTCATACAGACAGACAAGCCCGTCTACACCCCAGGGCAGACCGGTGAGCACCCACGGAACCCTGTAGAATGTCACTTTAACGCGTAGGCTCTTCCAGTGTTACACAGTGGTTTTGCTCTTTGCTCTGCAGCAAATACTAACATGAAAACTCCATACGATGTACGCACGTATATATACTTTGTCACTGCTAGAGGACAACCAGCCTAGATTGTCTGTTCGTCCGTCCGTATTTCGTTTCCGGAGCAAAACTTAAAAATCGTGTAAGAGTTTTCATCCAAACTTGGTACATGTATTAACCAGGGACTGAAATGGTGCCTTTGCTATTGTGGGCCCTGTTTTTATTATCTTTTGATGACTCTTGTTTTTAAATGTATACCAACTTATACATATAAACCATGTCCGACGTGTGTTTAACGTGTGTATTTGCTTGTTCCAGTCAATATCAGAGTGCTGCCGCTCAATGACCAGCATCTCCCCTCACAGTGGCCCGTGCAGATTGATGTCAAGGTAAGACGAACCTCGGTGGTAGCCAGGTAATTTGTAATCAAGCACGTAAGATGACAAAGGCTTATTGTGAATATATATATATATATGTACCCCGGAAACTCTGAGCACTGTTTTCAGATTCTGCTACAGACCACTCAGTCGAGTATTTATATTTGTAAATAAACAGTGTCTACATTGATGCAGCTTACAGTGGCCAACAACCTTGCCGTACTTACATCAACAGAGCGGTCGGGTAGCCTAGGGGTTAAAGCGTTCGCTCGTCACGCTGAAGACCTGACTATTTTAAAGATAAAGGCTTAGCAGAAACTTACATAAAATGTCACTTTCCAGTTTCTGAAGATTTCAGATGGGGACAAAGGTTATGTTTTGACGTCAACGAGTGAAACATATATCGGATTGCGTTCCATATGTCTGAACACTCATTTGTGACTGTTTGACACTGGTACATGTATGTTTGACACTGGTACATATATGTTTGACACTGGCACATGTATGTTTGACACTGGCACATGTATGTATGACACTGGCACATGTATGTTTGACACTGGTACATGTATGTATGACACTGGTACATGTATGTTTGACGTTGGCACATGCATGTTTGACACTGGTACATTTATGTTTGACACTGGTACATGTTTGACTGACTACTCCCCAGAACCCTGACTCTGTAGCGGTCAGCCGGTCAGTGAGTGAGGGAAACCAGAGCTTCGTGACGGACAAGCTGAAGATTCCGGACAACCCCGTGTATGGAAACTGGACAGTGGAGACAAAGTTCTACAACATGGTATGGGAGCTGTATAATGTTCTATTTGATCTTACACCGCCTCCGCAGTTTAGTGGATAGAGCGTCTGCACCTCTACATACGTCGCTATAAGTACAATCATTTTGAACGCGACGTCAAACCCCCTTTTCACCACACCTCACTTATTTAACCTTAAACACTTTCCTTTTGTATAATGACTCGGACAGTGTATAATACAAATGTAATTAATAATATCCGATGAGTTGTGTAATTTGTAGGTGCATATAATGCATTACAAGGGCAGTTAAATAAACACTTTGGGGGGATTTTCATTCACCTACTGTTACAAGATGGCAGGTGTTATTCAAGGGTATTCATCGACCGATCATTCACAACGCGGCTTATTTCTATACTATGTCCTTACAAATATGTCCTTGCCTGTAGTTATGAAACGATGTCTTCCTTTAATTATACACCCGAATGAGCCGTATGTATTGTTTGTATAAAACCACACGAAACCGTGCATTATTATTATTATTCTGTGAATAATATAAATTCTAGAGGCGATGACAGCGTTATGATGGCTTTGAAATACCGAAACGTGTGTACTTTACAGCAGGAATATGTACATATATTACTGTATTGAGCATGTATTTAAAAACCCATAAAAAACAATAAAAATATCTGGCATATCTGGCATACTCTAAACTGTTACGGGACTCGGAAGGCCCAGTTGTCTAAGACGCCGCAATTCGCAGTGACGAGTTGCGTCCCTTGGGTACGCCAGATTGTGGGTTCGAATTCCGGTGATCCCTGTTATGTTCCTAGGTTTGCCAGCACCATACCCGTTCTCGTGGGTTTCACCGAAGTGGTAAACGTCTGACACCTGCATCACTTTTGGCTTTCCTCCCACATTAAGCTGACACGCCGTAATATAACTGGAATAATATTCAGCAGCGAAAAGTCTCAACTCACTCACTCTAAACTGTTATAGGGGAGGTCGGTTAGCCTAGTGGTTAAACCGTTCGCTCGTCACGCCGAAGACCCGGGTTCAATTCCCGCCATGGGCACAATGTGTGAAGCCCATCGCCGTGATATTGCTGGAAAATTGCTAAAAGCGGCGTAAAACCATAGTCACTCACTCACTCACTAAACTGTTATATCTTTACTATGTGAGGCAGTGCCCTTCTGTGTCCTGAATGATCACATGGAAGTCGTTAAAAAAGTAGCGTAGCAGATACGTTAAAACGTAACATCTTATTGTACATGTACATATATATTTCAGTTGAAAACTTCGGCCAAAGTACGTTTTGAAGTCAAAGAATATGGTAAGAATCGTTTCTACTTTTGTCACTCAAAATCGTTAATTTGGTTTGGTTTTATGTTGTTAAATTGTGACATCTTTCTATTATTGGATTCGAACCTTCTCCTCTAGTGTTGCCGACGTTCACAGTGAAATTCGACGTAGCAGAGCAACACAGAGTTATCCTCCCTGACACGGAGCATTTCAACACAACACTCAAAGCAACGTAAGTCCTATACCTGGCTCATGTGCCCTTTTCGTTGTACAGTCAGGCCCCGTTATTTCGGAACCTCCGCAATCTGGACAGTAACTGTTGGAAACGTCTACACTAAGGCTACGAAAAAGGGAAATTACAAGGGTCCTCAATCATCGGCGCGTCAGTCATATTGATTGCTAATAAAAAGCAATTTACTAATTTCCTGAGTCATATGAGTAACATTGCATCAAAGTTTCTATATTTCTTGTGGAAATAAAAGAACTGTTCTTCTCTCAGTACTTATTTTCAATAAGGAAGAGAATATATAGATGTCAACGTCTTTATTATGAGGAACACAACGTTTCGGAGTATATCCTTACTCCTTCTTCGGGTGAATGATGAAGGAGTAAGCATATACTCCGAAACGTTGTCTTCCTCATAATAAAGAAGTTGATATGCATATATTTTCTCCCTTATGTGAATCATTTTTTGTTTAAAGGTCATATCTTTCTCCGCGAGTTACGTCCCTTGGGTCAGAAACCAAACCAAGGTCGTCGGTTCGAATCCCGGTTCGTGCCGATTATCTTCTTTAAGATACATGTGACCGACAAACATGTATTATTCAATGTAGCCCAATACAAAAGAACATACTTCACCGTTCATTAATCCGGATAGTTGTTAATTCGGACGGTTTAATTGAAATTGTAAGGTCCGGACTACGGAGGTTCCAAAGTATGTGTGATATGGAGACATCATCTCATGGATACACAGCTTTCATGAAGGGTCGATGCTCATAATATCAATCACTGGGTTTTCTGGTGCAGACTCGATCATTTACAGACCGCCGTCATATAGCTGGAATATTGCCGAGTGCGGCGTAAAACAAAAACAACAACCAACATGAATGATGTTTCGTCTGATCCAATTGAGTTCAAGAAACGTTTACCAGACCATCAACTTAACCCGGAAGAGAGGTTTAATTTATCGAAATCAAATTATAATCACAAGAGTAAATGTAGAAATATAACTTTTAAAGTCGTATTTCTTGGCAATATCATAATGTGATTACTACATTAATATGATGATGTCTCTTTCAGATACGTATTCGGGAGGCCAGTCAAGGGTCACGTGACAGTGACATATGGACTTGTTTGGCACGGGCATGTGTTCCCCATGGGAAAACAACGTAATATTTTGGTAAAATTTCACATGATATAATAGCTATCTTTGAAACTGACATATCTTAATTATCCATAATGAGTCGACTCTCGCTCTCTGAATTGTTGGAATATCTGGTCTTCTTTATAATGGTCTTATTTGTTAGAAGCATCTCACGTCCATTTCAGTTGAACGGTACCGGCATGGCGGAATTCCACGTCAAGACAGACCAGGTGAAACTACCCGTGGAGAGTGTGTGGTTTCCTAATGGAGGAAGGCTATATTTAGAAGCTGACGTCACAGAAGAGGCTTCTGGGAAAGTGGAACACGCTATTGACCAGTCTGTTGTTTTTGCCGAAACTGCTTATGTTTTCAAATTTACAAGATCCAGTAGATTCTTCAAGCCAGGTCTTCCGTACATACTGAGAGTGAGTTATATGTTTTTATATATATACATGTTGTAGAATAGATTATATATTATGTATTATTCCAAGGTCCAGTGGTGAACCTATTTTCGATTGAAATGAGGTCAGGTGTTATTTTCTTCTCTCATATCCACCGATGATCCAAGGTCAGCACTGCACGGGTTTGTAAACACTGTGTTCCTCCAATACCCGTGAATGCATACGGTCCCTTAGATTAAAGGCAGGACACGGGTGGCCCAGTCGTCAAAGGTGCCGCGATTCGCTGTGCAGAGTTGCGTCCCTTGGGCACGCCAGAAACCTATGATTGTGGGTTCGAATCCCGGTTCGCCCCGATTATGTTTCTAGGTTTGTTAGCACCATACCCGTGCTCGAGGGTCTCACCGAAGTGGTAAACGTCTGAGACCTGCATCACTTTGGGCTTTCCTCACACATTAAGCTGACACGTCGTGATATAACTGAAATCATGTTAAAAGCGACGTTAATATGTTAATAATGTGTTATATTGTCACGATACATTGACCTAAGGGTGTATATTGTCCTGTGAAGAGCCATGTTAAAATTCATCTTCAGCAACCTAAGCTTGTCGTAAAACGTGCCTAACGGGATCGGGTGGTCAGGCTCGCTGACTCAGATGATGATGATGAAGCGTTGGATAACCACAAACACCGTTTTAAGATGCATTCAGCTGATACTTTCTCTCCTGTCGTGCCCAAAGTGCCAAACACGTAACTCCATTCACGTGAGACCAGTGAAGATCCGGGGAAGTATTTTGCCAGTTTGCCGTAAAAGGCGACTATGCTTGTTGTTAGAGACGACTAACGGGATCGGGTGATCAGGCCCGCTGACTTGGATGATGCATGCCATCGTATCCCAATTGCGTAGATCGATGCTCATAATGTCAATCACTGGATTGTCTGGTCCAGGCGCAATTATTTACAGACCGTCGTCATATAGCTAGAATATTGCTCAACGCGGCGTAAAACAACAAACAAACAAACTGTGTTTTATTGTCCAGGTGGATGTAGTCCGGGCTAACGGAGATCCTGCGCGAGGGTTGACTGTGGTCGTGGAGGGTGAGGCGGCGGTGAGAGAGGAGGGCGTTCAACTGACCCCCTGGAATGGGGGAGAGAGGAGGAACTTCCGGACAGATGACAATGGAAGACTGACGCTTGACTTCCGGTTGCCAGCAGACGCCAAGAACCTTCACTTCATGGTGATGACCACAACCCCGATCTCATCCAAATCAGATTTTAGTTCTTGCTGCCGCTTTAACAAAGATCTGAAGACAGCCATTTACAAGTCACGTCAGAACGACCTTTCGCGAACTTTGACTGACCATTGACATGACTAACAGGAAGTCGACGTTAGCCAATCAGAAAACAGCCCCCTCGAGCTATACGACTAGTTTCAAACTGGCGACTTCCAATCCAGACTATTCATTGAAAGATATTTAAACAAAGTTCTCGATTCCAAATTTGAAAACTGAAAAAGAAGGCTCTGAATTGTCTCTTAGATGGCGGAGATTATATGACGGTACTTCACACGGACTATGCAAAGTCTCTTCCGTTCATCTTTTATCACTGTGAAGCGAGAGATCGACGATGATTTTGACGGAATAAGTCGTACAGCCCGTAACTGTCGTTCGGAATACCCCGTGTTAACCTTTACGAGGTTGCATGATTTAGAAAACACTTTCCGACTGTCTCTTTCTTGATTTGGTTAGCAACGCCCTGATTGGTCGGAAAAAGGTCACTCTGACCTGACCCGTAATGGGATGTCTCAAGATCGATGTTTAGCAGTAGCGTGAACTAAGATCTGATTTAATGAGATTGACCACAACCCATAACAGAGTGTCGAATAGGCTACACCTTTATCAAAGCCCCAAATGTAATTCCGGAGAGGAGGATGTATCCTATACTCTTAGTGTGTTGATGGCAAGAGAAAAATTGGAATCGGAATTTGTCGTCGTTTCCCGGCGTCGATAGTGGTTCATGCTATCGACCACTGGTTTGTCTTATTCAGATTCGATACAACCGTCCTTATTCCTGACTGTAGCGGTAAATGGCTTTCAATAGCTTAACCCAGTATCTTATGCACAGTGGCATAACTACGTTGCCTTGGTCGATGTTAAACGCTTCGTATCTATCACTAAGTACATCTGCTGTGATAAGTGAGTGAGTGAGTGAGATTTTCACGCAGATTTGAACAGTATTCCAGTTATATCACGGCGTGTCAGCTTGATGTTGGAGGAAAGCTCGAACTGATGCAGGCCTGAGACGAGGATGGTGCTAACACACCAAGACAATCGGGACGAACCGGAATTCGAACCGACGACCTTGGTTTGGTTTCTGGCCCAAGGGACGTAACTCGTCAGGCAGGTATCAAAACAAATCCTTCATCTGCAGTCTGCTGTGATAGACAAGATTCGTGATCACATCCTTCTGTATATTTCTTTCAGCTGAAGTCCAAAACAAAGGGCCTTGCACGAGCGTCTGAGACGGTGGCCCATTTCGGCGCGTCCCCCTACTTCTCCCCCTCAGACACCTACATGCTTGTGAAAGCAAACCCTACTGCAGGGGTGAGTGGTCGCTAGGTTCCAAAACTACATCGTCAGTTGATGTACTCAACGAACTGGTAGCTTTGTTGTACACTCAATCAAAATCCCATTTGTCAAAGAGTTGATATTTTGACGGCAAACTGTTGACATTTGTGGAATAAACTTTCGGGGAAAAGTTATCATCCAAAACTAGTTTTCACAGGATATATCGCTCGGGTAAAATCAAGATATATCTCATAGGAGGTATAGGTACAATCAAATTGCATCACAATGCTTTGCAGACCATTGTGATGTCAAAATCAAATGCCATCGCTAATCTCAGAAGCTAGTCAGCTGTAGTTTTAACAAGGACATTGATTATAAATGTTTACCAAAAGTGAAAAGTTTGGAAGAATTATTTTCAATGTGAATGCAATCTCATTCTCGTGTCTTTTGATGTTTAAAAAATAGCAACACAAGTGTCGGAGTACCTCATTCACACGCACTTGTCAATCTACCAATTAATGGCCAGGAAAGCGATCATTCAACCAATCAAAATAAATTTTAAAAATATGTTTCAAACTGGATGTATGAAAGAATACCCTATTATTTATGTCACTGTTTATTCACTTGGGATAATATAGTTACAAACATCTAAATCTTATAATTATTCTAGGATTTCCAGGACGATATCCCCGCCGTTGGAGACTACATAACGGTTCAGACGACAAACACCGACCCCGTTGACCTCAACGTCATCAACCTGCTGGTAGGCATAGCAACTAGTGTTGCGTGTAAATCAAATAAAAAGGACAAAGAATATTTCCGTATTCGTAAGAAGTTTCTGCTAAAATGTGAGTCCACTGAACGACTCCGACTATATCATAAGTATGTATTTAAATATCCCTGTCATATAGTGATGATACCAGGTCTTTGCGAGAAGGTAAGCGTATCCAACCACACCGGTGGCACAAACACATGCAAAGGCAAATCAACTGTTCACCTCTGAAACACGGGAACACATGGGACTAGTCGAAAATTACGACATGAATCAATAAATATCGCTTTTTGCCTTTTTAGGTTGTTTCACGAGGAAGGGTTGTGTTACAACTGAAAACTCGGAACCTGGGCGGCGCACGCACACAGTTCCACTTCCCTGTTACCCCGGAAATGTCCCCGAGTGTCCGCCTATTGGCGTTTTCAATGCGAGGCTCAGAGGCGGGGTCAGAGGTCATAGCTGATTCAACGTGGCTTGATATCGAGGAAAGTTGTGAACATGAGGTATTGTTTTGTTAAAAACTAATATTAACATTATCTATGGCGTAACCCAAGAATAAATCAATAATTCAATAGAACGTGTCAACTGCAAGTGCAAATATTATAGCAAACATTATTGTGTATGAAACACTGGATCGATATATTACAAAACATTCTCATCTCCTGGTATTAATCATACAGTAACTATTTAGGTAGATGTTATGTTTGTTTTTTAAAACTCTCTAAAGCGTACTTCAGTAATGATCAATATTGGGGCACGGGTGGCCCAGTCGTCTAAGGTGCTGCAATTCGATGTGCAGAGTTGCGTCCCTTGGGCACTCCAGGAACACGTGATTGTGGGTTGGAATTCCGGTTCGCCCCGATTATGTTTCTAGGTGTCACCAACACCCGTGCTCGTGGGGTGGCGGTCACCGAAGAGGTAAACGTCTGAGACCGGCATCACTTTGGGCTAGCCACTGCTTTGACGCGCCGCGATATAACTGAACTGCTGTGAACCCAACTCACTCACTCACTTGTTGAATACTACATTTGACAATCATGATGGGCGTGTTGAAAGCAACCATTTTTCCATATATTGTGAGTGTGTTTGTTCCTGATGATGTCGGTGGCCATCACCAAATGTGTTCATAACATTTCTTTCTCTTTCTCTGTTATGACGTTCCTTATTATTTCCAATTTACTGTGGAAATCAGTTGAATTATATTAAGTGTATCGCAGTGCACCCCGAGGGATTCCGGGTTGGAATAGGTAAGAGTGAGTGAGTGAGTTGGGTTAAACGCCGCTTTTAACATTTTTCCAGTTTAACTGACGGGCAAAAGAAACTATACCAAAGTATTTTTTATTTAAAAAATATCACATCAGCACTGAACTGGAGTTTTCATTGTCAAACAAAATGCATGAACGCAGCTTCATCATTACTGAGTTTAAAAAATCCTGCTTCTTCGCGAATATGGACTTTATCGAACTTTTTTCATTCAAAATGGGATGCACGTGCATCACGACAAAATGGCTCGGAACGGTATAAAATCCGCCAATCTGTATGTTTTACACCACAATTGTACCGACCACAACAGCTGACATGCCGAGACTGACCGCACAAGAGCGAGAGAGAGCAATGGGGATGTTGCAGTTGGGAGCACGCCATGCCCATGTTGCTCGCATCTTCAACTGCACCAGAACAACGATAACGAGGCTGCAGACACGACTCACACAAACAGGTCGTACAGATGACAGGCCAAAAAGTGGAAGACCCAGGGTCACAACCGCCAATGAAGATCGGTACCTCAGCATCTTACATCTACGCAATCGTTTCGTCACTGTGACGTCATCGGCAGCCACAGCATTACATCACGTGGTCAGCAGAAGGACAGTTGCCAGGCGTCTTCGACAACACGGTATTCGGGCCTACCGGCTCTTTCGCGGGATGACCTTGCGCCGTCGTGACCGACGCAACCGCCTCCATTGGGCAAGAATGGTACAAGGGTGGCAAAACAGGAACTGGCAACGAATTCTATTCTCTTATGAGAGCAGGTTCCAGTTGTATCGAGCTGATGGCCGTGTGCTGTGTATCGTCGGAGAGAGAGAGAACAGCCCAATCCCCCTCCGTCAAGTCGTCAAACGTTGATTCAGGCACTGTTGGAAGAATGGCGAGCCATCCCCAACGACGTCATCAGGGATCTTGTAAACTCCGTGCGGCGACGTGCCCAAGCCTGTATTCAATGGAGGCCATACAAGATACTGACAGTAATGCATTTGTGAAAAAAATGCGTTTTCTGTTTTCGTTCAGATGATTTGTTTATTTTGCAAATTGACATTTACCCCCTCTGTCATTCCTTACCTGATATTGAAGTTCCTGTAAATGCCACCTTTGTGGAATTTGAATCAGAACATTGTCAGATAAATTTTCTTTCCAACTTGCAACACTATATTTTTGTGATATATTTGATAATGTTGTCAACACCAAAGCAATGTTGGCATAGTTTCTTTTGCCCGTCAGTTTATATCACGGCGTGTCAGCTTAATGTGGGAGGAAAGCCCGAAGTGATGCAGACGTTTACCACTTCGGTGAAACCCACGAGCACGAGTATGGTGCTGACAAACCTAGAAACATAATCGGGATTCGAACCCACAATCATAGGTTTGGTGCGTGCCCAAGGGACGCAATTCTGCACAGCGAATCGCGGCGCCTTAGACGACTTGGCCACACGTGCCCCCCGGAATAGGGTAGAACCCATGATGGTTAGAGGCGACCATGGATCGGATGTTCAGGCTCGGTGACTTGGTTGATTGCGTGTCATCGTACCCCGACGGTGGGAATCGTTGCTCACAATATCAACCAGTGGATTGCCTGTCCAGATTCACTTATTTACAGGCTACCGAAAGATTAGCTGGAATACTGCTGACTGCGGCGTTAAACAACCAACACACGTTTCTTATAATATATGAATCACTTGATTGACTCGATTATTTACAGGCCGCCGTAATATATACTCACCGCAAAAAGAAACGCGAATCATAGATACGTATAGAGAGGTATGGACGATAAGAAGAGATGTTTCCAATGTGTACCACTTAATGACAAAACTAACAATCAGTCAAGTGTTACTACAGTGTCTTTATGCTTATCACGAGATGCTCCAAACTTTACACGCTCATCCTTTTGTCGTTTCTTTTGTCGGTGAGTATATATAGCAGGAACACTGCTGAATGGGGAGTTAAACAACAAACAAACCTAAACAAAACATTGCAGATAACTATGAATGACGACTTGTCGAGACGGGACTACTACCGACCCGGGGACACGGGGACGCTGACTGTGAAGGGCAGGCCAGACATGAACATCGGCCTCCTCGCTGTCGACAAGGCGGTGTACTACCTCAAGAACAAACTCTCCTTGTCTAGAAGCACCGTATGTATAGTGTCTGGGTGGAGTCCTGAGATCCAGCATAACTTTGTTCTCACTATTGAAACTTAAACATTACCTTAACTGCTACAGAATGTTTAGAGCTTGTGTCGTCTTAGTAAATGCTTTATTAAGAGTGTGCAAAATATTGTTTTCGAGAAATCTGAAATGTTCAAAAGGACTGTTTTGTAGAATGTTTATTTACGTTTCTATTGTTCGAACTTTAATTTATTCATGATTGTAACTGTATTCCGACACTGAAATTATGATTTAAAAGAAAACATATCTGAAGTCAAAATTAGTTGTTGTCTATATTGCGTTGTGGCCCCGGGAAACATGGTGTTGGCATTCTGATTGTTGTAACGTCTTCACGTCGTATTCCATCAGGTGTTCGACTCACTGAAGCAACAAGACCGTGGGTGTGGCCGAGGAGGGGGCCGGGACAGCGCTAACGTGTTTCAGGTGAGATTTTCCTGTTCTTTCAGCTGTACATCAGTACAAAACCGGACCTGCCATATACAAATGTATTTGTGTTGACGTTAACTTGTGAATTACAGCTGTGATTCTGTGACGTTAACTTGTGTATTACAGATGTAATTCTGTAACATTGACCTGTGTGTTACAGCTGTGATTCTGTGACGTTAACTTGAGCATTACAGCTGTAATTCTTTAACATTGACCTGTGTATTACAGCTGTGATTCTGTGACGTTAACTTCAGTATTACAGCTGTGATTCGGTAACATTGACCTGTGTATTACAACTATGATTCTGTGACGTTAACTTGAGCATTACAGCTATGATTCTGTGACGTTAACTTGTGTATTACAGCTATGATTCTGTGACGTTAACTTGTGTATTACAGCTGTGATTCTGTGACGTTAACTGGAACATTACAGCTGTAAGTATGTAACATTGACCTGTGTTTTACAGCTGTGATTCTGCGACGTTAACTTGTGCATTACAGCTGTGATTCTGCGACGTTAACTTGTGTATTACAGCTGTTATTCTGTGACGTTAACTTGTGCATTACAGCTGTGATTCTGCACGTTAACTTGTGCATTACAGCTGTGATTCTGTGACGTTAACTTGTGTATTACAGCAGTGATTCTGCGACGTTAACTTGTGTATTACAGCTGTGATTATGTGACGTTAACTGGTGTATTACAGCTGTGATTCTGTGACGTTAACTTGTGTATTACAGCTGAGATTCTGTGACGTTAACTTGAACATTACAGCAGTGATTATGTAACATTGACCTGTGTATTACAGGTGCAGCACCTTAACATTGACCTGTACATTATAGACGAAATACTGTAACGTTGACTTATACATATACACTTTATACATATTCGCCGCGGTTAGATGCAACTGACATTGTTGAATCGACTGTCTGTCTGAATGAATGGTGTTAGGTACACTGGCGCGTCTACTGGAACATCATTTCGCACTCGGTCGGCTTTGAGTAAAACTACTTTGGTTCAATGACACCCACTTTTCTGTGTTCCAGGACGCTGGACTGACCGTCATCACGAATGCGGGGCTAAGAACAGAGCCCCGGGCACAGAAGGCCTGCTCCAACAAGTACGTCAGACGACGCAGGGAGGAATCGAGAGGTGGATTATTTTGAGATTTATGAGTGAGTGAGTTGGGTTTAACGCCGCTTTTAACAGTATTCTAGTTATATCACGGCCTGTCAGCTAAATGAGAATGCCCGAAGTGATACAGGTCTCAGACCTTTACCACTTCGGTGAAACCCACGAGCACGGGTATGGTGCTGACAAACCTAGAACCATAATCGGGGCGAACTGGGATTCAAACCCACAATTATAGGTTTGTGGCGTGTCCAAGGTACGCAACTGGGCCACCCGTGCCCCCATTAAGATTTATGAAACATCGGTTGTGTGAGGACTTTCTTAACGTTAAAGAAACTGTGAGTGAACATGGTTTTACGTCGCTGTTGCAATAGTCCAGCAATATCACGGCGGGAGACACAATGGGCTGTCCACATTGTTGGGGATCAAACCAGTGACTTCGGCGTGACTATAGTACACAAACCCACTGACATCATTGAACCTCATTGAAGCACGTGCCATTGTTGCTGCTCAATTCATAATGGTTTTGAAGGTTATCGAACAACGTCGTTGCTGGTCTATGTTTGGAATTGAAGTGTTATGACCGGTGGTTGGTTAGGCACGGATCCTGGGTATATGTACAAATATCATTCACGTTAAAAGTTTGTCTTTATAACAGTAGATCTCAGTTAGACCCAGTAGACCCGCAGGCATCCACACCCGCAACCATAACCACTACCACCAGTGAGTGAGTGCTGTTTCACGCCGCTTTTAGCAACATTCCTACAATATCACGACGGGGGACACAGAAATGGGCTTCCCACATTGAACTCATGTGGGGAATCGAACCCGTGTCTTCGGCGTGATGAGCGAACACTTTAACCACTAGGCTACCCCACCAGCCCCTACCACTAGTGACACGTATCACATTCCAATTGAAAACAATCCTCCGACTAATATATGTATTGTTCCGGCAGACAGTGCCCTGGCCACACTGTGTTGCAACGAGGGGTTCGCCGTTGAGAACGCCACAATCTCCATCTGCTACAAGTTTGCATCTGTTGTGAAGAACGGCACCAAGTCCGAAGAATGTGCTTCCAGCTACTTCCGGTGCTGCAAACACCTTGTCGAAAACCCTGGCAACCACACGGGATCGGGCAGTGAGCTACTAGACTAATATTATCATTACAATATTCCACAGAGATACCCGATAATAGAGATAAATGTTGATCGGTTTAACGTAATCTTCCATATTCTTTAATATTCAATACATATTCTTCATTAAGTAACCATGATCTCTTCAGATGGCGATTTTCAGATACGAAAATATATTTTTTTTGTATTTGGAGTTAAATAATACGAGTATGTATTTTGTGGGGGTATGAAATATGATGATGTGCTCTAACATTCCAGTATAATACTTTAGCTCATGTCACATGCCAAAACAACAACGCCGTCGTATTCAGATATAGACATTATTGCTCCATTTCGAGAAAGGAATCACCAAACCCGAGGACGTAGAAGACGATGGCCTTGACCTTCCGTTCGACCAGAACGACGTTGACGTGTCTTCTATCCCCCTAAGATCCAATTTCCCCGAGGCCTGGTGGTTTGAGGACTATGTGCTGGAGTACGTATACAATGAGTATTTGCATGTGGTGATTGTAGTGGAACCGTGCTGTAACATTGACTATAAGCGCTACGTACATCGCATTATTATGCCTCAAAGTGAGATTGACCAATCAGAGAGAAGAACCACTGACCCCACATGAGCCCGTATACCGTCAGTAAAAATCCAAGATGGTCGTGACTGACCCAATGTGAGACCGTATACCGTCAGTAACAACCATCTTGGATTTCTCAACACCCACTTCACATAAATTTCACAATAAAATTCTGGTACAGTAATTCGTTATTCGACACTATTTTGTGTATTTTATATCAGCCCAATATTTTTTTGATAACTTAATATGCATCCATTTTTGGAATGAGACTAATATTCTGTAAGCCCAATGTTTTTTTCTGCTAACCTGATATGTCACCGTATACGGCAACTAAAGACACCATAATATTTTGCGGAAGGGGGGGGGGGGGGGGCAGAAAACATCAGTTCGAGTGTCGCTGTGCTTGTGACGCCGCACCGAGCAATAAACCTGACAATCCAGTGATTGACATAATGAGCATAGATCCACACAACAGGGATACGATGTCATGCATCAGCCAAGTCAGCAAGCCTGACCACCCGATCCCATTAGTCGCCTCTAACGACAACCTCAGTCGCCAATTTGGGCAAGCATGGGTTGCTGAAGACCTATTCCAACCCGGATCTTCACGGGTTATTGTGACATAACTCACACTTGATTACAACATGTACCTTATTCTGTCTTCATATTTCTTAGTTCGCGTTGATAGTCTCATTCCAAAAGTGGATGCATCAACACCTATTATTATTGTTGTTGTTATTATTATTGTTATTATTACCATTATTAGTGGCGATGGAAAGCGGGAGATTGAGTTCACCCTGCCGGATACGATCACAACCTGGGTTGTGCAAGCGGTGGGCGTGTCAAGACGCCATAGCTTCTGTGTGGGGAAGGCTCACAACATCACAGCCTTCAAGAACTTCTTCATCCAGCTGGACCTCCCCTTCAGCGCTATCCGGCTGGAGCAGCTGGAGGTCCGGGCTACGATATATAACTACATGGACAGGAACGTCACGGTGAGTAGGGAACGTTAATGGCGGTGAGTGGGCGACATCACGGTGAGCACGGTGCGTTACAGACGACGCGTACGAGTGGGGAACGTCGAGTGAGTGAGTGAGTGAGTTTGATTTTACGCCGCTTTTAGCAATATTCCAGCAATATCACGGCGGGGGACACTAGAAATGGGCTTCACACATTGTACCCATGTCGGGAATCGAACCCGGGTCTTCGGCGTGACGAGCGAACGCTTTAACCACTAGGCTACCCGACCGCCCCTGGGGAACGTCGAGGTGACTGGCGAACGTCACGATGAGTGAGAAACGTCACCGATGGTGAGTGGGGATCGTCGCGGTGATAAATAAACGTTAATTGAGGTGATTGGGGTCCCGGGAACGTCACGGTGAGTGAGAAACGTTACCGGTGGTACCTGGGGGCCGTCACGGTGAGTGAGAAACGTTACTGACGGTTAGTAGGGAACATCATGTTGAGTGAGAAACGTTACCGACGGTGAGTGCGGAACGTCGCGGTGATAAATAAACGTTAATCGTGGTGAGTGGGGTCTCAGGAACGCCACGGTGAATGAGAAACGTTAGTGACGGTGAGTGGGGAACGCCACGGTGCAGTGAGAAACGTTACCGATGGTGAGTGGGGAACGCCACGGTAAGAGAAACGTTAACGGCGGTATGTGGATACCGTCACGGTGAGTGAAAAACGCTACTGACGGTTAGTGGGGAACGCCACGGTGAATAAGAAACGTTACTGACGGTGAATGGGGAACGCCACGGTGCAGTGAGAAACGTTACTGACGGTGAGTTGGGAACGCCACGACAAGAAACACTTTACCGACGGTGAGTGGGGAACGTCACGGTGCAGTGAGAAACGTTACCGACGGTGAGTGGGGAACGTCACGGTGCAGTGAGAAACGTTACAACGGTGAGTGGGGAACGTCACGGTGCAGTGCGAAACGTCACTGACAGTGTTCAGGTAGCACCACATAAAGTGGGGAATGTCACTTATGGTGAGTGGGGGACGTCACAGTGAATGAAGAACGGTACTGAGAGTAAGCAGGGGGCATCACAGTGATTGGGGAAAGGCCATTGCTCATCTCTTTAAACGCTCAATTCTATTCATGACATGGTGTATGACATTATGTTTGGCAGGTGAAAATGTATCTCTCAAGTGAAGAGGGAGTGTGTTATTCGGGAGATCCCGGAGAAAACTCGGAAGTTGCCGAGCTAGACGTGCCAGCCAATGATGCGTCCTCGGTGTCTTTCCCTCTCATCCCCCTGGAGGTGGGGGATTACCCCGTCAGGGTGGTGGCCTTCTCCCCCTGGGGATACGACGCCGTTGAGAAAACTCTCAGAGTCGAGGTAAGTATCTGTTATAGGAATGACATGAGTTTACACGAGGCACAATAGAAACGTTCCTGGTAATTGGCTTCGTACTTGTTGAATGTAGATTTTCTGTAACGACAGTTTAATGGCCTACTTTTAGCAAATTGTAAGCTCATGCATTGATTCTAAACACGTACTCACTAGAACCATCACATTCAACAAAATACAGATACATTTTGCACTACAAATATACCAGCTGGTTCAAATTTATTTATTTATTTATTTATTTTTACCTTTTTATATATATTCAAATATTGATTGATTGTACAAATTTATTTATTTATTTATTTATTTATTTATTTATTTATTTATTTATTTATTTATTTATTTATTTACATTTAGATATTGATTGATTGTTTAAATATTGATTGATTGTTTAAATATTGATTGATTGTTTAAACTGATTGATTGATTGATTGATTCATTCATTCATTGATTCGTTGATTCATTGATTCACTGATTGATAATTATATTACCCAGTAATTTGCTACTTTGATGCTGTATTTTAAGTCAGATAACGAACGCGTAACTGAACATTCTTTACAAATAATGATACTGGGCAGGTTCTCTGACTCGGACGTTATTTGTTTTATGTCCTGTCACTTGTTCGTTACCCTTAACATACGCTGAATGCATTATAATAGTTACCGTTTGGGGGGACAGATTATACTCGCAAAGATCATCGTTTCAATTTCATCATCGAGGTGTATTGCTTGCGTCATGTGAGGTTGTTACATGCATGCATGTAGTATGTCGTCACTCGTGTTGATTCTTTCCTTGGGAAAATTAATTTCTCTGCAGAGTTGCACTTACAAATAACTTACGAATAAGTGACTGTGAAGAGTTACGTCCCTTGAGAATGCCAGAGATATATGATCGTGAGTTTAATTCCAGATTCGTCCTGGTTGTTTCAAGGTTTGTCAGTGCCATACTGAGTACTCGTGGTTCTTACCCAAATGGTGAACGTCTCAGACCTGTATAACTTGGGGTATCCTCCCGTTTTAAGCTGAAATTCCGTGACGACACAGGACTACTGTTTAAAGCGGCGTTAATGAAACTCACTCACTTACATTATGTTGCAAGGGTGAGGGGATGGAGAAGATCCACACCGTGTCTGTGATGCTCGACCCCTCCGGCAAGAGGCTGCTGCGAGACACGCCCTACAACTCCTCTTTTGGTCTCAAATGTGCGTACGTCGGTGGTGCTTCTGTTTAGCTACTAACTCAAACTTGCTCCATCATTTCGTCAACTGTAAACAACAAATTGAATTCTTGTCAGAATCGCAGCTACATTTTAAAATATATTTGTCTCTCTGGTAGAGAGTTACTGTTTTCATGGGGACGGTGGGGTAGCCAAGTGGTTAAAGTGTTCTCTCGTCACGCAGAAGACCTGGGTTCGATCTCCCACATGGGTACAATGTGTGAAGCCCATTTCTGGTGTCCCCGTCGAGATATTGCTGGAATATATTGCTCAAAACCACTCACGCACTACTGTTATCCCGAGGCTCAAATGAACTTGATGATAACGTGTCTATTCATTGGGTACAAAAAGCTAGGATTCGTTTCTCCAAAACAATCTAGAGCAATATCCAGATACAGATATTGATCGTCCAAGATATTATTTCTTAAATCTAAACGATTTGTATTGTTTGCCATTGGACGAACTTTGTAGAATTAATGAATATGCCTTCACGGAACTTGAACATGTCATGACCTTTGCAGCTGAAATAAACAAGCACCAGAGCAAGCAGAAGGTCGAGGTCGACCTGCAACTCCCCAAAGAGACTATCCCAAAGACAGAAACATGTTCAGTCAGCGCTATAGGTAGGACGATAGTCATACTGCTACTGCTAACACCAGCTTCGAGACCCGTGAAGATCCGGGGTAGAATTGGTCTTCAGCAACCCATGCTTGTCGTAAGAGGCGACTAACGGGACCGGGTGGTCAGACTTGCTGACTTCATTGATGCATGTCATCGTATCCCAATTGCGTAGATCGATGCTCATGATGTGAATCACTTGATTGTCTTGTCCAGACTTGATTATTTACAAACCGTCGTCATATAGTTGGAATATTGCTGACTGAGGAGTTGAACAACAAACAAACAAATAAAACGACAATATTGATTATTTTAAAATTCGTCGCAAAACAACACATATGAGCTCCCTTCACAGTAATAGCTTGTGTTGATCATGTCACGTCTGCATAAACACCTGTGCATTTTAAACGTGCCCATGTTCCATGAGCCAGAAAGAGATGTATAAAAAATTAATATTTTTATTTTGTGTTTTATATTTAATAATGTTATATGTTTTAAATGCTTTTAGAGTGTCTCATAAGCCATAGAGGCTGGATATTGTACTTTTAATAGCAACTTGCTTTTGTTTAAAATGTGTTTTATGTACAATATGTGACACTTAAATAAACATTTTTCTTCTTCTTCTTCTCTTATAAATCTGACGTGTGGACACTGCCATGTGTTTACAGGAGATCTACTGGGCCCCACGGTAACGAGTGTGATCAAAGGCCTCCACAACCTGCTCCGGCTGCCCACGGGATGCGGAGAGCAGAATCTCATCTTCCTCGGCCCCAACGTGTTTGTGCTGCGGTATCTCAGGGCCGCCAACCGCCTCCCACAGGCCGTGGAGAAGAAGGCACGGACGTACATCAGAGAAGGTGAGGAGGTGGGTGGGTGAGGAAGTGAGTGGGTGGATGAGTGAGTTGGTTAGTGTGTGGGTGAGTGAGTGAGTGGGTGAAGGGGGCGAGTGAGTGGGTGGTTGGTTGGTTGAGTGGGTGGGTGGTTGGGTGAGGGTATGGTTTGGTGAGTGGGTGGGCAGATAAAATGTTTCTTTGGCAGGCGAGCTGACAAGCGAGCAGTTTTGTTTGGGTTCTGGATGGCTGAAAGTGAATCTACAAGATGAGCAGATTTTTTGGATGGGCGAGTGAGAGAGTAAAGTATGCTTCAATAAAGACCTAACACATGGATAACGTTGACTGAATGTAAATAAATGTCCATTTTAGGACAGTAAAAGAGAATGGTGTTATGCCCCTTCTGCACATTCAGGTCAATTTCTGAATCACGATGATGCATCATTCAAAACTCATTCCTTTGCTTTAGTTCATCTCAATTCTGTTATTCAGAAACAACAATTGTCCGCACATTGTACAATGGCCATAGTGACTATATTCTGAATCTGTTCATCCCCTTGACACAGGTTTGAATCGCCAGCTGACGTTCAGAAAGCCCGACGGATCCTACGGGACATGGCCCAGCGCAGACTCCAGCACCTGGTCAGTGTCATCACAGTTCATAATACATACAATGATTACTGTTGAAATATGTTCAATAGGCACGCACACGCACACGCGAACGCGCACACGCACACGCACACGCACACGCACACACACACACACACCTTTTAATCAGTAAATAGAACACCGGCCCAAAATACATCGCGGTTGCTTGAGAGATCTCCTAGATGCTATATTACACCCAATCATACACCGTGATCTACAGCCAGGGTAAATGAAGAGCCTTACTATATTTAGGAACAGAATTTCATATTGTGTTGGTTTACGGGAGTATGAACGCTTTGAACCGTACAAGTTAAAATCGTATCACAGGACAGGGAATTCCCCACGGAGAATTGAAAACTCTGAAGAGCATTTGTGTGCGTCATCTATATTTTGAATTTTGTCCCTCTGACATCCAGGTCGGTAATGCGAATATGTAAATAAATGTATAATGAAACCTTGAGTGAAAAGCAAACGTTAATTTATTGTCCGACATTGCCGATCTTCACGGTCGTGGTAAACAGGAGAATAGAGAATTGTTCCACTTGGGGATTCCAATTACACGTAGTTCCGGTCAGGAATCGTGTTAACGTCAAAGGTGAAGTTTAAACTTTGTAAACGTCACTTTTTGACGTTGTCGAACAATGAACGGGTCATGTGATCAGGAAATAAACCTATCAGATCATCGGAATTCCCTTAAACTTCAAATCATGCATTTATAACTCCCTAACTGGACGGATCCTTTTGACCTCACAGGCTGACGGCATTTGCCCTGAAGACGTTCACACAGGCGGCGGAGTTCGTGACGGTGGACCCTGTAGTCACGTGTCAGGCCTTCGAGTGGCTGCTCCATAAACAGAAGGAAGATGGCACCTTCATCGAGAACGCTGGGGTCATGCATAAGGAGATGACGGTGAGATGGCGGCGCCCGGAAGGACCCCTCTGATGGGCTAGCTTTCCGTGTACGATGTCGACTTGCCCATGACATGTCTGCTGGTTGTAAAAAACTGCCGGGGGAAAGAAAGTATACACTAGAAAAAACCACAATACAAACGTTGTATAAACATTATTTGGCTGAACAAATCGCCGTTAAAATTTAAACACAAGGTCCAAAACACAACTATGATACCCGTATCAAATATTTCACAATCGATTAACTATTTCCTGTTTTAGTGAGTGAGTGAGTATGGTTTTACGCCGCTTTTAGCAATATTCCAGCAATATCACGGCGGGGGACACCAGAAATGGGCTTCACACGTTGTATCCATGTCGGAATCGAACCCGGGTCTTCTGCGTGACGAGCGAAAGGTTCTCCGACAGAAGATCACGTCAGCGTTTAAATCAAGTCGGCAGATAATCGAGACTGGTTGTTTTCAGGTGTTGTCGTTTTATGTTTAAAAAGTTTGTCCCCGTGAAAAACGCGGCGTTAAAACCAACTTGTCAATGAAATTAGTAATATTTTTTATGAGTCTTTGTTTGATGTTGCAGGGCGGTGTGAATGGCGACGCTACACTAACGGCCTTTGTGTTGATTGCCCTGTTTGAGAGCGAGTGCATCCCTATGGTGAGGTCCAGGTCCACTGACGGGCACCTGTTACATATGTCCAGTACATAATCTAAAATAATCGTTGGTCCTGCCGAATCGTTGGTATAGCCGAATAACATCTTTCAGAAACGAAGCAGATTCCATAGACATTTTGTATCATTTTGTAACTTTGTTCCAAGTCTCGGAACTTTTCGGAGGAGATCCGGAGGCGAGCAGTAGAGTTCCTGGAGCAAGAGCTGATGGCTTTGGACCGCCCCCTTGCCGTTGCCATGACAGCCTACGCCTTGACGATGTCCCTGAGTCCAGAGAGACACAACGCTTTTGAGAAAATGAAGGCCATGGCCCAGTCTTCCGTCGATGGTCAGTCACACATATTCACGTTTATGTGTTTCAACCGAGGCTTCATATTATAATTATCACAAATCAGGTGAAGTTAAGCAACGCCGGTGTCGGAGAGTAGTGACCTTGTGGCCGCGTTCCGCAGCTTGACTCCTGAGAGTTTCTAGGGCTTCGGTCCTGCCCCACACTGAAGCACATGTAGCACATGTGGTGTCTCCTAAGGCAAATGACTATGTTCGAAATGTGCCTCTGACCACCAAGCAGTGAATGGGGACCCGGTAGAAGAGACGGTAATGTGGTTGTTAACCTTCTAGCGTCTCACAGGTAGCTTTGGTTGTGTACTCCCAAGGGAGCTGAGAAAGATATCGAGTGCACACTGATCCGTTGACCAGGGGAATAACAGTGTATCGCTATGATTATCCACTTTGTGAATGGAGTTTGGCGCATTATAATGCACATATTATTGTTAATATCATTATGATAATTTACGAACAATTCGAAAAGCGACGTATATGACTGATGTTAAAAAAGTGAAAATATCTTGAAGGAAAACGAATGTATGAAACAGGCCTTCAGCTAAATATTAGATGCCAACATGAAGAGTGAGTGAGTGAGTTGGGTTTAACGCCGCTTTTAACAGTATTCCAGTTATATCGCGGCGTGTCAGCTTAATGTGGGAGGAAAGCCCGAAATGATGCAGGTCTCAGACGTTAACCACTTCGGTGAAACCCACGAGCACGGGTATGGTGCTGACGAACCTAGAAACATAATTGGGGCGAACCGGGATTCGAACCCACGATCATAGGTTTTTGGCGTGCCGAAGGGACGCAACTCTGCACAACGAATCTCGGCGCCTTAGACGACTGGGCCACCTGACAAAGTGAAGAAGTTACTTGTAAATACAGCGTTTGAGAAACAAACAAATGTGATGGTAACAAATGACTTCGGCCTTCGAAAGACCTTGTTTAAAAGGTTTACCTTACAGGACATACATGTTGGCCGGCTGGTGAGATCGACCATATCGAGGGACACTTCCATGAGCCCCTGTGGTACGCCAAGAGACCCGGGGCCCTGGCTGTGGAGACCACGGCGTACGCCCTACTGACCTACCTGGAGCACGGCTTCATCAAGGAGAGCCACTCCATCGTCACCTGGCTCATGGGGCAGCGAGAGTCTCACGGCTCCTTCGTCTCTACACAGGTACGTACGATATAAGTTTGTTTAGTTGTTGGGTTTTTTTCTGGTTTAACGCCTCACATGAACTGCATAATCCGGTAGCTGTACGTGAAGAAAGTATTTTATGAACCCTTTATGAACCATAATTAATTCATGAGAAAAACACTCACTCACTCACTCACTCACTCACTCACTCACTCACTCACTCACTCACTCACTCACTTTGATTCAGGACACCGTGATAGGCCTCCAGGCCCTGTCCGAGTACAGCACTAACTCACTCACTCACTCTCTTCTCTCTGATTCAAGGACACCGTGATAGGCCTCTAGTCCCTGTCCGAGTACAGCACTCACTCACTCATTCACTCACTCACTCACTCACTCTCTTCTCTCTGATTCAAGGACACCGTGATAGGCCTCCAGGCCCTGTCCGAGTACAGTACTCACTCACTCACTCACTCTCTTCTCTCTGATTCAAGGACACCGTGATAGGCCTCTAGTCCCTGTCCGAGTACAGCACTCACTCACTCATTCACTCACTCACTCACTCTCTTCTCGCTGATTCAAGGACACCGTGATAGGCCTCCAGGCCCTGTCCGAGTACATCACTCACTCATTCACTCACTCTTTTCTCTCTGATTCAAGGACACCGTGATAGGCCTCAAGGCCCTGTCCGAGTACAGCATTCACCCACTCACTCACTCACTCACTCTCTTCCCTCTGATTTAAGGACACCGTGATAGGCCTCCAGGCCCTGTCCGAGTATAGTATCAAGACATACTCGTCCGTCCTCGACATGACCTGTGACCTCAGGTCCGACGTGGACTCCAGCTTCAAGGAGTCCATCCTGCTGCAGCACGAGGACGCCTTCGTCCTCAAGACCGTGCCCAAAGTACGTGCTCATGGACCAGTGACACTGGGGAAAAACAAATTCTTAATCAGTATGATATAAAGTAATCTCTGCTCAGATTGTTTGTCTAGATCTATACTTTTGAGAATATATTATAACAGAATAAGAAAGGAACCAAATAATTAAGAAAACATAGCGGCGTTCATCGCAACAAATAGGAACTATATAGCCATTTGGGGCGAAGAAAGCGCAACTTATTAGTGTTTCCTTGTAAAGATTAGGGGACGGTCGGGTAGCCTAGTGGTTAAAGCGTTCGCTCGCCACGCCGAAGACCCGGGTTCGATTCCCCACATGGGTACAATGCGTGAAGCCCATTTCTGGTGTTCCCGCCGTGATATTGCTGGAATATTTCTAAAAGCGGCGTAAAACCATCCCCTCACTATAAAGGTTAGGCTCCAGGTATATACAATTTATAGCGCCAATTCCTTGTTCTCTTCAATAGTGCTGAAGCAATTTGTCGTTAAACGTGTGTGCACCCCACCCCACCCCCCCCCCCCCCCCCCCCCCCCCCGCCCCCTTTTTATTTCGAAAAAAATCTTTATTTCTGTATAAATTACCACCAAAGACAATAAATAGATCTTAATTGTGCACACCCCCTTTTCAAAAAAGCTGTATCCGCCAATGTAATATAATCATATACTGTAGTGACAGTGATTTTCTTCTGTGTTTATTCTGTTATGTGTTAGGACCGCCACCAAGGTTTAGTGGTAGAGAGTGGTAGAGCGTCTGTTCCGTCCAACTATGACTCTTGAATAAATCGGGGGACTGTTTCCGCAGGTACCGACAGGGGGGAAACTTGTGTTCGAGGCGGCAGGCACGGGGGTCGGGATGATGCAGGTGGAAGTCAGGTACAACATCCCGGATGAAGACAACAGCTGTCGCTTTGACGTCATCGTGAAAAGTACCCGGCTGTCGCATATGCTGACTCAGTTCTTTTGGCAGAAGGGCAAGTGAGTACACTGTGTGCTTTCATGTTCGAGAATATCTGCGAAATCGTATCTATATTTGTACTGCGCCGCTTTTACTGTCTGACAATGGTTTCGAGCGCTCTGATTGGTAAATATCATCATGTGCTTTTGTTATGGTTGGAGCTCGGACCAATCAGAGCGCTCGACGCCATTGAGCGCGGAGATTGTTTGTTTACTTCCGCGACCGACAGCCGCGATTGGGCCAATATTTCGATTACATCACCCGAAATAGGTAATAAATTGCAAAAATGAAGGTTTGTGGTATACAGGGCGTATGTAGGGGAGGAACATGGCGTGCATTCACTGCTATTTAATTTAAACGATACAGCTGATTTCAACTTCGGCCAAGATAGCGAGTGACGTACCTTGTCTATAAATAATATATATGGGTCCGGTGCTTCAGTAATATCACTATCCTGCTTCAGGGGCCTGTGGTTCGATGCTGAATTTTCCACCGGCTGCACACGCCCCGTTATTATTAAAACCATAACTAATTATAACGGACAGTGTTTGAGTTTGTGTGTTGATAGGTACAGCATCTCTGATTATATTAAGAATTATTTGTCGCCAATACGGAGGCAAAACGTTTGTTGTCAATCGCGATTTGTGAAAAGCATGAAAAAATGCCTCATGTGACGAAAATCAACGCTTATGTATAATCTGAAGTAGTGTTGAAATATGTGTAATCATCTTCTGATAACGCGCAATGGAAGCAGTCAATACATCTTGCCAACTGTTATTTTTTTAGCTGTCCGTTACGATAAGAGTCATAACATACATGAGACATAATCGGATTACTAATATACCATGTTTCTTCTATTTATAATGCCTATAAATAGATTCCTGTAAATGGTAATTTCTTTACAACTAATTCCATCAGTTTCGTTCATGATAATTAATAGGCTCGAGCTGTCTTCTGTAGAGTGGGCCGGTGGGTAGCCTATACTAAAGAGTGTGAGACTCGGGTTCGATTCCCTACATGGGTCCAATGGGTAAACCAGTTTCTGGAGACCGCGGTCGTGATATTGCTGGAGGATTGCTGAAAGCGGCGTAAAATATTATACAATCCTGTACATGTGTAAGAGTTTGTCAAGTATTATATTTTCTAGGGCCGTAACGATTCACCGGTACCTACGATATCATCGATACTGAAATACACACGATACTTGAACCGGCAGATTGTGAGATCGCGATACGCTATTAATAGAACAGGAGCTTATAGAGTTACCTCCCATAATGACAGAAGTTGCACAGCGCCACCTGTAAACATGGCGGAACACAAGGACGTGGTAGCTGAGGACGCGCCGACTAACTGTTACATTTAAAAATCATCCCTTCATTTGAAACTGTTTTGTTCTTGTGGTTTTCTTTGTTAAAGTTTCGAGATAACAATAAATAAATGTATGAAGGAAGAGGTCTTAGAGCTGTATTTCAGTTATTTCCCCATTTCGTACAATTGATGTGGTGTATCGTGATATCAGTAGTATCGTCAGTCCGTATCGTGATGCGGACCTCCTCCGTGGTCTAGTGGTTGAGCGTCCGCCCGGAGAGCGCAGGGGCCGGGATTCGATCCCCGGCCGCCTCATACCAAAAGATGTTAAAAGATGGAACTTTTTGTTACCCTGTCTGGCGCTCGGCATTAAGGGGCTAAAACAAGGACTGGTCGGCTCGGAGTCAGTATACTGTGTCTGAGTGGGATATTCATGTTAAACTGCGGCATGGTATCTCAGTGAGCTAGCGCTATAAATCGGCATCAGTCCGGACTAGTACAAGCAGCCACGCAAACACACACACGTACATGCACGTCGCCATATAAGTGCAATAATCTTGGACACGACGTTAAACCTCATTTCACCTCACCTCACCGTATCGTGATGCGAATCGTATCGCAAGGTACCAGGTGATACTCAGCTCTAAAAGTTCCATTATATCGGCTAAACTCTTCTCCCTTCCTCCAGTTCAGACTGCGAACCGTGTTCCCAGGAGTGTGATGAGGAAGAGGATGAGGAGGAAGAGGAGGAGGGAGATGATGACATCGAGTCCTTCACCTTCCCGTCTGTCGTACCTCGGATCCATGACAACCGACGCAAAATCAAAAATAATTACATCGACCACCGTGGAAGCCGCATAGGACGGCCCTTCTCTCGCATTGGCAAACCTCTCCACAGACGAGCACGCTCCCTGGTGGCCAGCGCTAGAGTACTGTGCATTGAAGTGTGTGTCAGGTAGGAGTTGTCTCCCTTAGATGCGACAAAAACAATACAAGTGTACAAATGTATATCAAAATCAGGCAGTTACAAAATATGTAGATTCAATTCAGGTTGAACGCATGTAGCTAATTTGTATGTTTGTAACCGACACATTTTAAAACAAACCTTTCCTACTGCACAATAAAATGACACGTTTTCCTCCACGAACCAAAGATAGTGTATGGGTCATGAGGTACATACACGTTCTCACAGACCGCCTCCGTGGTCTAGTGGTAAAGCGTTCGCCCGGAGAGCGGAAGGTCCGGGGTTCGATCCCCGGCCGCGTCATGCCAAAAGACGTTAAAAGATACTTGCTGTTACCCTGTCTGGAGCTCGGCATTAAGGGGCTAAAACAAGGACTGGTCGGCTCGGAGTCAGGATACTGTGTCTGAGTTGGGTAGCCAAGTGAAACTGCGGCATGATATCTCAGTGGGCTAGCACTATAAATCGGCATCAGTCCGGACTAGTACAAGCAGCCACACACACACACGTGCATGCACGTCGCTATATAAGTGCAATAATCTTGGACGCGACGTTAATCCCAATTTCACCCCACCTCAAATCACCTCACCTCACACGTTCTCACATCGACACCTTGAACATCCTACGAACACAATAGTTTGTTATCATCATCATCATCATCATCGAACAAGTTTTATGGATATACAACGTATTTATTACACTGAATGAGACGTTTCGGTGTAGATACTAACGCCGTTATCAAGCAAGTGATGTACAGAAATATGAAGTAGGAAAGATATATACATGTGGATAACTGATGTTTGTACAAGAACGAATGATGATAAATTTATGTTTACCCAACATTAGTGAGGATGTGGGGAGTGGTGAAGGTCCTGGTCAGCAACTGACTACCAGGTATCCTTCTTTGATGTTAGAATCACAACAACAACGACATAGGTCAAACTGCTACTACTTACTGAACATGTGTAGTGGAGAAACGCCGGGTGAGCTCTCTCATGTTCATACCCTACTCTCCAGGTATCACGGCGAGAGAGAGACGGGCATGTCTGTGGTCGATGTTGGTCTCTTTACTGGCTACAAACCAGTAGAATCCGATCTTAAAAACGTAAGTAATTCCAGTTCTTTTATAACAGAACCCGTATATACCATATGGTTCTGCACCATGGCTGTGGATATATACCAGAATTCTATGAAACAAACAAAGTCTAGCTATAGGCAGCTCTATTCACGTTATCACGAGGAATCATTTTTTTAGAGGAGAGATATGTATTGTGTAATTGAAGATGTCATAGTTTAAAATCTAATTTACGTTAATGCCCATTGCAATATCTATAACTTAACTGTAATTTCATTTTGGCTATATCAATTAAGCGAAATCTTATGTCCTGTATAGGGAATATGTTGATGTATTTAATTATATATTCCAGTTGATAAACAAAGGCAAAATACAGCACTACGAGCAATCTCAGAGGTCCGTCATATTCTACATGGAAGAGGTAAATAACACTTTGTATTCGTTGTATAGGAAGATGAACGAATGCCCTTAATACTGAGTGTGCGAGTGAGTTTGATTTAATGACCATTAATACAAACCTTAAAATATACGTGGGATGTAGAACCGATACGAGCATTAACGTCGATACAGAGGCTTCTGGTAGACACGTATACGTAACAGAGCTGCAAACACAACGATAACGTATTCAAGTGAGTTATTTTCCATTACGCATAGTCAGCAATATTCAAGTTAACAAATGGCGGCCTGTAAACCAAGTCTGTTTCAGGCAAACCGATGGTTAAGGACACGAACAAATAGCCACGATGACACATATTCAGGTCAAATAATCCACCTTTCCCTAATCTCATTCTAGTCGGCTCTAAGAGCGTCAAAGAGTAATGTTTCTTCTTTGAACCTGAGTTTGCATTCGTGAAGTCCCGTGCCATTCCGGGACAAGCCGAAAGAAGACTCGTGCCCCACTCGAAGGATTACATATAGGCGTATTACTGACGCGCATTCTGATTGGCTTGTGCCTGTTCGATTCATGGCGGCGATCGAGAAGGAGTCAGTTTTCTTATTGGCTACGGAAAAATGCGATTGGTGACGATTCATGCTTCGTGTAATACTAGCTGAAATGTGTTATTATATTCGAAAAACATAAACAGACACATTACAGGTTTGTAAAATGTTCGTTCAGCGGAAGTAATACGACAACAAAGTCTTATGACGTCACCAGGTGTTCACAGACCTGCTGTTGTGGAACAGGGACTAAAGTCTTTGAAGGGCATTTAGTGAGTGAGTGAGTGAGTGAGTTGGGTTTTAACGCCGCTTTTAACAGTATTCCAGTCATATCACGGCGTGTCAGCTTAATGTGGGAGGAAAGCCCGAAGTGATGCAGGTCTCAGACGTTTACCACTTCGGTGAAACCCACGAGCACGGGTATGGTGCTGACAAACCTAGAAACATAATCGGGGCGAACCGGGATTCGAACCCACAATCATAGGTTTCTGGCGTGCCCAAGGGACGCAACTCTGCACAGCGAATCGCGGCGCCTTAGACGACTGGGCCACCCGTGCCCCCTTTGAAGGGCATTTAGAAGTGATACACATAAGGAAGAGAATTTATGGATGTCAACTTCTTTATTATGAGGAACACAACGTTTCGAAGTATATGCTTACTCCTTACCAACCTGAAGTTGACATCCTTAAATTCTCCTCCTTAGGGACTAAAGGACCGGGTCGTTCAAGTAATAAGCAGAGCTGAGTTGATGTAGATAGCAGTGTTGTTGATCGATGCTATTGATATCCAGATATCTCACAAGAAGAACGAGTGTCTCAAATTCCGAGCCAAACAGAGACACATGGCTGAAAACATCCAGCCAGCTCAAGTCCAGGTGTACGACTATTACAATCCAAGTGAGTTGTTTGTTTGTTTGTTTGTTTTTATAACAGAATTCAGCGATACCAGCTGTATGACGGCGGCTTGTAAATAATACAGGTCGGACGTTCCACGCAGTCAGACAAGTTACAGGACCCCACCACCCGAACTGTTGCGATAAGCATAGGTTTCTGGGGATCAGTTCCGGAATCGGGCGGTCGGGTAGCCTAGTGGTTAAAGCGTCAGCTCGTCACGCCGGGTTCGATTCCCGACATGAGTTCAATGTGTGAAGCCAATTTCTGGTGTCCCCAGCCCTGATATTGCTGGAAAATTGCTAAAGTGGCGTAAAACCATACACACTCACAATTATGTATTTATTAATTACTATCAAATGGTGATGATGCCAGGTGTTCGTGGGAAGGTGGGGGTCCAGCCCCACCGGTGGCACCGTCACAAAGCATACTCACTCACTCACTCACTCACTCACTCACTCACTCACTCACTCTAACCCGGAATCCCTACAGGTTGGTTCCTCTATAAAACGAAATAATCACTTACAGTGATACCAATTATAACGGCGGGCGTTACTAAAAACGGGCGCGATATATTGAAACCATTTGGGAATTGAATGGGGTGATTTGAGAACGCTACTCGACTAGACGTCAACCACCCAAACCTATCAATAGTCGGGCCCAAAAAATAAGTTGCGTGTCAGTGATTCAGCCTGACCAACCATTGAACAAGCGACACGCCTATTTGGTTTTCTTCTATATTTGTAGCAATATGTATGCTTTTATTTGACGATTCAGAAATATAGAGACATAACTCACGACCTACTAACCAGTCTTCTCAAGAGTTCATGACCGCCTCCGTGGTCTACTGGTAGAGCGTCCGCCCGGCGAGCGAAAGGTCCGGGGTTCGATCCCCGGCCGCGTCATACCACACGACGTTAAAAGATGGTACTTGTTGTTACCCTGTCTGGCACTCGGCATTAAGGGACTAAAACAAGGACTGGTCGGCTCGGAGTCAGTATACTGTGTCTGAGTGGGGTATTCATGTTAAACTGCGGCATGGTATCTCAGTGAGCTAGCACTATAAATCGGCATCAGTCCGGACTAGTACAAGCAGCCACACAAACACACACATGTGCATGCACGTCGCTACGTAGGTGCCATAATCTTGGACGCGACGTTAAACGCCATTTCACCTCACCTCAAGAGTTCATATTACCGGAAACACATCTGTTCTTCTACACGGAATTGTTCACTTTTTGGCAATAATAGTGAGTGAGTGAGTATGGTTTTACGCCGCTTTTAGCAATATTCCAGCAGTATCACGGCGGGGGACACCAGAAATGGGCTTCACACATTGTACCCATGTCGGGAATCGAACCCGGGTCTTCGGCGTGACGAGCGAACGCTTTAACAACTAGGCTACCCAACCGCCCCTTGGCAATAATAAACGAGGGTTGAGTTCTGAACCTCACATATAAAGAATTGCGTGACGGTGTGACCAAATATTTGGTTGGGTATCCGGAAAGTGATAGCTGGGTTTTCTAATCGTGTAACCTCGAAAGGATTAACACTGGGTATTCCGAACGACAGTTAAGAGATTTACGACCGATTCCGTCAAAATCTTCGTCCATCTCGCTTCAGTGGGATAAACACTGGAGCAGACTTGAAAGAGACTTCCCATTGCCCCTTGGAAGTAGTGCCATACAATCTCGGCCATCTATTGGACATTCCAGAATTTTCGTTTGTTCAGTTTTCACATTTTCAATCGATATTGTGCCATAAAAGTTGCTTTCTGATTGGCTAATGTTAACTTTCTGTCGGTCATTTCACTGGAACGTGACTAGTAACGGGATCTTCTCAGATCTTTGTATTTCGGTAGCGAGAGGTAGGATCTGATTTAAAGAAATTGAGTAATACTATTTATTTAAGCTATCACCTTGCCCTGTTTAGATGAACGGTGCACGAAGTTCTACAAGCCTGACAACGCAAGCGGCCAACTTGCCAACTTCTGTGACAAACAGAAGAAGATATGTCAGTGTTTGGAAGGTCAGTATGAGAACGGGACGGAATCCTCTTAGTCCGGACACCCTGATATCCGGACATATTCTATTCAATATGTATATTTATGAGCAGATGTCTCAGTTACAATGAATCTTAAATGAGGATATAATCCGGACGTCGTTCAACCTCGAACGGTTCCGTCCGGATATTGAAGTTCATAATGGTCGAAATAACTTCACTGACACCGAACAAGCTTTAATATTTATTTATATCATTAATTGTGAATGAACCTTTATCAGATGAGAAAATACTCTTTGTATGCTTGTAAATCATAAAGAAATTCTGGCTTCACGTTAGTTTGTTTCTTTCTTTCTTTGTTATTTAACGCCGCACTCAGCCCTATTCCAGCTATAAGACGGTGGTTCGTTAATAATCGAGTCTGGACCAGACTAGCCAGTGATTGACATCATGATCATTGATCTACGCAATTGTGATACGATGACATGCATCAACCAAGTCAGCGAGCCTGACCACCCGATTCCATTAGTCGCGTCTTACGACAAGCATAGTCGCCTTTTACGGCGAGAATGGGTTGCTGAAGACCTATTCTACCCCGGAACTTCACGGGTCTCACGTTAGTACGTGGATGGGGTAACGTGTTCGGCACTTTGGGAAGACGGAAGAGACTGTATGAGCTGAATGCATTTTAAAACGGTGTTTTGGTTAGCTCACGGCTCACGGCTCAATGCTTACGGCTTATGGCTCACGGCTCACGGCTCAAGGCTCACGGCTCACGGCTTATGGCTCACGGCTCATGGCTCACGGCTTATGGCTCACGGCTCACGGCTTACGGCTCACGGCTCAAGGCTTATGGCTCACGGCTCAAGGCTTATGGCTCACGGCTTATGGCTCACGGCTTATGGCTTACGGCTCATGGCTCACGGCTTATGGCTCACGGCTTATGGCTTACGGCTTATGGCTTACGGCTCATGGCTCACGGCTTATGGCTCACGGCTCACGGCTCGAGGCTCACGGCCCACGGCTCAAGGCTCACGGCTCACGGCTTATGGCTCACGGCTCATGGCTCACGGCTATTACTGCGTGCAAAAGGAACAGGTAGTTAGGGACCTTTGCAATCCACATTTAAATGTGTCATTTAAGGATTTCGTGTCCAACATGATTGGTAAGATTATCTTATTCCTTGATGAAGTATGTAATCCCATAAGAACTCTCACCAGGTCGCTGTGGCCGTTGCGAGGAGGTCTGGTATGGGAAGAAATGGACCACCTACGTGAATTACTCCTGTCAAAACGCCACAAACAGTAAGTTCTATATTCACAACCTTTGTTATTGATTTATATGATTTGTTTTTTGTTCAACGCCGCGCTCAGCAATAGTCCAGCTGTCGAAAGCGGCCCTTAACGAGTTCTGACCAGACAATCCAGTGATTGATCAGGACCGATCCACACCACCAGGGTGGATGTCACACAGTCTACCACGTGACCGAGCCTGGCCACCCAATCCACCTTACGACCATCATGGGGTGCTGCGGATTAGCCCGGAATTGATATAATCACTCAATACGACATCATAACTGCATGTGTATCTTGCTAATGATAACCACCTGAAATAAATAAAAACAAGTAACTATGCATTTTCAATGCATTCAATTCACATTAAATTACTCGAACAAATTCGAAAAACACAGTGATCATGACATTGTATAACTATAGGAACATTGAAAGTTACATTATTTCTTTCGATAGATGGAAGCTTAGACTTGCCCAAGTCTCTTAGGCAATAATTAGAAGTCAAATCATTATTTCTAGATCATGTAAATAATAAGATTGTCCCTATAAGAGACTGGAGTCTTAGTCCACATATCTAGACTTGCATATAAGAGGAGAGATAGACTATACATCCATGGACTTATCTTTCAGTACAGCTTTAGCAAGGCTAATGGAAGTTGGATATGCTATATCCTATATATAACTGTATTAATTATTGCACTAGTCTCTACTGCATATCAAACATCTGCTATTCAATATGAACGGTTGGAAATATTGTTGTCACTCATATTGCAGTTTTGTTGGTGAAAATTCTGGACCATGACGTTGCGAAGGCGGGTTTCGAGCGCTACCTAGGTGTAGTACAGCAGGACGTGTACCAAGGTGAGATAACTCCTGCCCTACTTTAGAGATACTGCCCTTATCGTGTACATTTTTAGAGTAAGTTATTTGGGTTTTATGCTCCTTTGAAATGTGTTTTAGTTATTTTACGGCGTGTCACTTAATGTAGGAGGAAAGCCCGATGTAACTTTGTGAAATCCACGGGCACGAGTATGGTGCTGACAAACCTAGGAACATAAACAGGGCGAACCGGGATTCGAACCCACAGTCATAGGTTTCTGGCGTCCCAAAGGAACGCAACATCGAAGTGTGGCGCCTAAGATGACTGGGCCCCCTGTGCCATCCGTACGTCTCAGAAAGCATGTGAAAGGTTTCTCTTAGTTGACGATAGGTCCAGAGTATGGATAACCACGAAACTAAGAGTGTGGACAGTCCAGTAACATAATTGCACTACATAAACATATCGTTAAATACGCAATGAGGCTCATTCCCATTGAGTTAATAAATTAATTTAGTGTAACGCGTGCAAGGAGGCTACTATTAAGCCAACACGCATGCAAGACAGCTTGGGCTTCCAAAATGTTCATCTACCCATTGATACAATCTACAAGCAGCTATCATTGTAATATCATAGTAATCAGATCTTTTTTTTTCTCTGTGTCGACATCTGAAAACACTTCAACGAGATTCGTAGAACCTGAAACCTGAGTTAATTTTGACTGCCAATCAAATGTCAGCTTTATAAACGTCATCAACTTCATGTCTTTGTTTTTACCACTTCGAATCGGAAAGTTCGTTCTAAGCAAAACAAAACAACCACAGGACACAAATATAACCTTGATATCACACCACGTTGGTTGTAGAAACGACAGAATGTATAATATCCACAATATATACGGCTTTAAGTATTTGCATTCAGAACTCCTCGATTGTATTCGTTTTCGAGTTACAGAAATGGGATATGTTTGTCTTATTGCTTCGCTCACTCGTACCGATACTTTAGAAGCCTCGATGGTTACTGACTGATTAGAGAATTCAACTGGCGCGACCTCCTGTGGAGGTGTACTCAGAACTTCACTCCAAGGGGTATAAGAGTAAAGGCTCTGACGTTACTGAGACTGGACCATTGTGACCAAACACGGAACATAGGCAAGGCATGTTGCGAATCATACGCAGTGATTAAACCGGCTGTTTCAGTTGGCCCCCGCCAGGTGGAGCCACGGACCAAGGTGATCCTGCTGAAGAGGGCGTCCTGCAGCTGCCCAGGGTTGGAGAAGGACAAGGTCTATGTCATGATGCTGAGGGAACCTAAGAAGTTTGTCGACGTCGAGGGGAACGAGGTGTAAGTTTCAAATTGTGTTATCGCGATATATCTGCCCTTACTGCATATTATTCCTTCCACCATTTCATGTTTGTGTGGGGACGGTTATTGTATTTTGCATGCACTTGGTTTATTCAATTTCGAGACTTCGACATCAGACTTGACAAGGGCAATTTACGGCTGCAAGGAGCTATGAGCACATGTTACAGTGAGTGAATTGGTTGGGTTAAAACGCCGCTTTTAACATAATTACAGTTATATCACGGCGTGTCAGCTTAATGTGGGAGGAAAGCCCGAAGTGATGCAGGTCTCAGACGTCAGGTTTGTGACGTGCCCAAGGGACGTGACCCTCGTGAAGACAGCACTTGGTGGGTTTGGTTTGTTGTTTAACGCCGCACTCAGCAATATTCCAGCTATATGACGGCGGTCTGTAAATAATCGAGTCGGAACGGACAATCCAGTGATTGACACCATGAGCAACGATCCACGCAATTGGGATCGATGACATGCATCAACCAAGTCAGCGAGCCTAACCACCCGATCCCGTAAGTCGCCTTTTCCGACAAGCAAAGTCGTCTTTTACGGCAAGCATGGGTTGCTGAAGACCTATTCTCCCAGCACTTAGATAGCACTTGCGAGAGGAGGCTTCCACTATACTAGGAACAATATTTGAGAGAACCCTTAATTTATTCAGAAATGATAATTTATGTAAAGAAATGACGTGGAAGTCAATCTTCGAAGTAAAGTCAATGTCTGGTCAATGCCCCGTGATCATCGATGCAGGCACATCTTCTGGGTATATTGGAAATCAAACGCCTGATGGTCTCCTGTGGTATCCTTCGCCATTCTTCCTGTAAGGCTTGCCAAGGCTGTCGCAAATTCTGGGGACGCTGAGGTCGGTTGCGAATCATTTAGCCCGGATCATCCCTAGGGTTCAGAACATTCAATTGGTGACATGTCTGGAGATTTACCTGGCCAGGAGAATGTTGTGATGTCTTGCTGCCTCAGACAGTCGACTGCAACACGAGCTCTGTGAGGAGGTGCCATGTCATCCTGGAACTCAAGTCCTTATCCACCATTATCTTAACTCGACCTGTTTGTCGATATCGTTCTATCAGTCAGGATATGGCATTTGTAGACCAAAGTGTCCTCATATATATTACAATATGTCCGTGTGCACTAAAACTTGCATACCTCACCTAAAATATGCGCATTTTAACGAAGCCATCCTCACAGCTTGACACTGAATCCGGTGGAGAGGCACATATGTAGAACTAATGCGCATTTTAACGAAGCCATCCTCACAGCTTGACACTGAATCCGGTGGTGACACATATGTAGAACACATGTATTACAAATATCTTTCGCTCCATGCAGTTGATATTGTTTTGGTCATTCAAGGCACGCCTTCCTGCTCGACCAGAAGGCGTTTGTTGTTGAGTATTACCGACTCAGGGACAAGGGGCTGAACAATCGCCAGAAGCAGCTCGCCCGCCATCTCAAGCGGACTGTTAGGAGGCTCACCAGGAAAGGATGCCGGAAGCTGACAAAGCGGAAGGGCAAGGGCAAGACAAGGGCGCTACGTACAAGGGCAAGGTCAGCTAAGAGGCGGAACCGGAAGCGCAGAGTTATGCCCTAAAACCAAGGTCAAGGGCAGCTTGAGAAAACATGGCGCCTCATGAAACAAATTACATGCTGCATATTTATTGCATGTGGAGGGACATGTACAATTAATGAAAGAGAACCAGTTCAGAGGATGTGTTCTACGTGCGGAGAAGGGTATTGTATAACAGGCGGTTCTAGGGATCTTATTACAATTGTTACGACAGATTGGTATAGTTGTGTGTAGCTTTGTGATGTGATGTTATTGTATCTTTTCCTTCATATAGTCACGTATCGTTCTCCTCTCTTTTCGTTTGTCAAATTAGCCATGGAATTGAATTTAAACTGAGACCGATGTCGGAAAAGGCTTAATGAACCCCCAAGTAATTAATCTAATAATTATTGGTTACACAGGGGTTATGAAGTAAACACAAATTACAGAGCACTTTTATTTGTTTGTCTAAAATATATCACATACGACTATTTTATATTAAAGCAATCTTATTTTTCTTATGTCTTGTTTTTTTATGAGCTCACTTTGGTTTTTTTTCAAAAAGGTCATGCTTTGCTGGAAGTCGTCATATATACAGGGCATAACTGCTTCAATAACCTTAGAAGAACTTTGTTTCATGCTGGTTGGAACTTGCACGAGTGTCGGCGCCTCGCGTTCATCGTGAATATTACACGGCGTGAGTTTGGTTTTCCGTCGCTACGAGTATAAGCAAAATGCCAGCAATGGTGCATCTTCCCGAGGCAAGAGAGTTAACTGACTTTAAAAGTCCAGTTTCCACCCTTGCCGAACCAGGCTGGAATTCCTGGGCTCGATCGTAGCGCTGCCAGTGGCTATTACGAGTTATGTCCTTTCTATGCCTCTCCTATTGGCCAATCAGATTCTACCTCTCGTATCACTTGCATTTGCTTCAAACAAAACGGTGGCGCCCAGTCAAGACGATCTGATTGATAATCAAGATCTATATTGTGATAAAACGAGTCTTACATCGTGAAGTGCATCAAATCACGTGAGCACCTTGATTAAAAGCATGAAAAGATTTAGAAAATATCTGTTGACAACGAGTTAGCGGTGCACATACTTTGCAAATCCTGCAGTCGACAGAAATCTGCGTGACACTTTACGAACCGGATTTCGATTTCGGTGCCTAGTTCGGCAAGGATGGAAACTTGACTTTTATAGTCAGTTAACTCCCTTGACTCAGGAAGATGGCAATGGTGTGGAACAACAACAATGTGCTTAACACCAATGTGGGGAATAAAATCGGGGCCTTGGTCAGGAGCTTCCCATAGGAGAGTTAAAGTCTGATTACATGTAATACGGGCGCCTTGTGACGGGTTACACATGCATTTAGTATATCTTAACATGACCACTTGGCGCATCACCCAGTACTTCACCCACTAGCTACATGATGCGGATGAGTTAACACCACAGCAACAATGGGCAACCGTTCCGGGATTAGTGAGTGAGTGAGTTTGATTTAACGCCGCTTTTAACAGTATTCCAGTTATATCACGGCGTGTCAGCTTGAGGTGGGAGGAAAGCCCGAAGTGATGCAGGTCTCAGACGTTTACCACTTCGGTGAAAGCCACGAGCACGGGTATGGAGCTGACAAACCCTGAAACATAATTGGGGCGAACCGGGTTTCGAACCCACAATCATAGGTTTCTGGCGTGCCCAAAGGACGCAACTCTTCACAGCGAATCGCGGCGCCTTAGACGACTGGGCCACCCGTGCCCCCGTTCCTGGATTAGATACACCCGTGGCAGACCGTGTGCGGCATCCAACGGAATGATGTGAAGATTGTAGGGCGGTCCTCCAGTGGGCCCAGTCCAACAGTTACCGGCACTGACAACCTCCGGATGTACAGGGAACTGATAATGAGTTTTTCTTATAGGTATCAGCGACAATATTTTCACATCTGACATTTCATTGCCCAGCTGAAAATGTTTGTTTGTTAACCCCGCAATCAGCAATATTCCAGCTATATGACGGCGGTCTGTAAACAATAGGGTCTGGATCAGACAATCCAGTGATTGATATCATGAGCATCGATCCGCTCAATTGGGAAACGATGACATGCATCAACCTGACCACCCAATCCTGTTAGTCGCCTCTTACGACAAGCATAGTGGCCTTTTACGGCAAGCTTGGGTTGCTGAAGACCAATTCTAACCCGGATCTTCACGGGTCAGAAAAAGAAATAGAAACGTGGGAACGGTCTTTCTACAACATTGGCCAACAAACATTGCTCCACCTTCCGACGAGAACATTTATTCAAACAATAATACAGAACATCAACATAAACAATAAATACATCCGATATGTTGGAAAATAAAGATGTAAATCCATATAACCCTGAATATAAACGCTTTGCACATGTCTGCACATGACAGGGCGCACGTACTTCACGCGATATGCACAAAAGCACCAGACAAAACTCATTCATTATCCAAAACGCTTCCAAACAAGATATCTCGTTTGTGTTAGATCATGGTTACCGATACAATTAAATTGCATACTTTACCATTGTGGCGTCATCGGTTACTATGACGTCACAATTAAATGACATCACTTTGAGACTGCATCTGTTTAGCTTTACTTTTTTCTCTCACGACACTGGTTATTACTGTTTGCTAAAAAGTAGGAAGAATGATTTTCGATGAAAAACAAATCTCAACCTCGTGTCCTTTGATATCAAATATATCAACATATGGCGAGTAAAGCCCGCAGTTTACAATTCCATCGATTCAAATATCAAAAGACACTAGGGTGAGGTTCTCTATGTGTCTAACATATCTACTTTGTTCGCTATGCTAAAATCCTTCAAACTAGAGTTATGGCTCAGATCGTCCACTGTTGGTACTGTAAAACCTCAATTGTCTTGTGCTTTCTAATCCGGAATTATGGTCTTCGGAAATATTAGACATGGCACTGCATGGCATTTAACAACGTTTAATAATTATGCAGCATAAAACTTTAAAAGTGTCACGGGGACGTTTATTCCCATTTTCCCGAGAAGAGGGTGTCCACGAGGCTATATCAAAGTGAAAACTTAGACAGAGGTCAACGCACACTCTTGCCTCGAGAAGATGATTATTCTCAAACGTGTGGATGGCAGTAGGTACCTCCTTAAATTGTTTATGGAAAACAAAACACCCCCGTTCTCTCCCCATCCACCCAAAAAGGAAAATGGCCAAAAAATAATAACTAAACTCGGGTGCCTAATACAAAGTCAGTTTCAAGCATGAGTTGTGGTAGAGTGTGCTTCATATGATTTGAATTTTCAATATTTTTTATTGTTCATGGAAAGGACTGACGGGCAGGATTTAAACAAAGTGACGCGCCCATGCCGGATATACATATCCTATTTGTATCGTAATATACATACGATTTTCTTCAAAGGTAACCAACACGTTCACAGGATGATGAGTTGTTGGTTCACTAGCCCGATGTCCTACTCTGGTCACAGATTAGGAAGAGCTAAAAATAGGTACCATCACAACTTAAATCGCCAGAATTCGGGACCCAGTGAATGCCGTTAACCAGGTATAGCATATTAAACAACAATGACTGATTATGTAACAACTGAACAAGACACCGGTGAGGAATAAGGCAGTAAGCACCTGGTGTCACAACTTGTGCCACAATATAACATGAAGCTTCAATACACAAAGCAAGAAATAAATACCATCAGATCTTTACACGAATCCTGAGGTGCGTGTCATGTTTTCAAATGCTGGAATAGTTTAACTTGATACAATTTGTGAGATCTTTCAACAATACAAATCCGTGAGTAAGTGAGTTGGGTTTTATACCGCTTTTAGCAATATTCCAGCAAGATCAGGGTGGGAACACCAGAGATTGGCATCACATATTGCACCCATTTTTGGAATCGAACCCGGGCCTTCAGCACAACGATCGAACTCTATAACCACCAGGTTACCGATCGTCCCCAGAAACATGAAATATTTGCTTCATAATGCAACAACACTAAACCTGGGATTACACCTTCCTGGTAAAGAACAACGGCTTGTGTAGTTGGAGTACAAAAAGTACTAGAATTTGTAGTGTAATCCCAAGAATAACATGTGTTACATTTGACTACTTTCTAAATGGCAATGTGTATACAACGTCATAGTGATTTGACTATTTGCAAAGCAGCTATTTACATTGCAACAACTGACGTCTTCAAACATCAAGAAAGGGCGTTATGTGTAGAAGCCGGGCTGAAGCGGTCACACGAACCTGTGAGCTAGACCATCGTATCCCTTTTTATGGAAAAAGCAACAAGTAATAACAACTTAGGAATCGTGGTCTCAATGATTTGATCTCAATTATGCTTTATCATGTGTTGTACTGCCACGCTCTGTGGAAAATAAAATGTGTAACATGGTACGGTTTTGATTTGATCACAACTTATCGTAATATCGATATTCAACACGGTCCCCCAAACATGGGCTGATGAAAAACAAGTAGCCATCTTTGATCAGCCCCGGAAGTGAGAACCAGAACGAGGTGTGTGGGACGATCTCCCTCCCCTCAGCTCCGTACACCGACTTTCTGTACAAGCTCCCTGAAAGGAGACAAAACATAGTACTTAATTACATGCTAACGGCAGCAGAAATATACAAGGTCAATTAAATACGAGAAGCGTCACATACCATTGTCCCTTGCGCTAAATTCTCAAGAGCATGATTCAGACCTAGGATGACAGGAGAACTGAACCAGAATACAAGACAACTGGTGGTTCACAAGCAAAGACCTAGACCTTAATATCGGACCCGTGAAGATCCGGGGTAGAATAGGTCTTCAGCAACCCATGCTTGCCGTAAAAGGCGACTATGCTTGTCGTAAGAGGCGACTGACGGGATCGGGTGGTCAGGCTTGCGGACTTGGCTGAAACATGTCGTCGTATCCTCATTGCGTAGATCGATGCTCATGATGTCAATCGCTGTATTGTCTGGTCCATCTCGATTATTTACAGAATATTTACAGAATACTCAAAGAGAGTGAGTACTGTTTTCGGCCGCACCTAGCCCTATTCCAGCTAGATTTGGGCGGTCTGTAAAATATCAATCGAATCTGGACCAGACAATCATGTGATTGAGAGTATGAGCATCGGAGTACGTTGACAGGTGTATGTTCCAAACCACAGAATCTGATCCCAACTTGAAACAGTTTGAATCTGAAAAGTTCCACATAATATTATTTGGGGCAGTCGATGGTTCTGAGATCGCGATTTCTTTCGGAAGCTGTGGGGATTCCGGGTAAGACTATAGGTCTCTAGCAACCTGTCCTTGTCGTAAGAGGCGACTAAATAGATCGTGTGATTAAAGGCACGGTGACTTCGCTGACTGCATGTCATCGTATCCCAATTGCGTCGATCGATGCTCATCAAGTCAATCACTTGAATGTCTGGTCAGACTCGATTATTTGCACACCGCCGTAAGATTGGATTGAACATTTCGGCGTTAAACAACAAACAAATCGCGCCTCCAAGGGATAATATACGCTATTCTATTTGCGTTAAACACTAGGCGGTCATTGTTACCGACCAATACCCCCTTACATGTACGACCCGTGAAGATTCCGGGGTAGAATAGGTCTTCAGCAACCCATACTTGCTGTAAAAGGTGACTATGCTTGTCGTAAAAGGCGACTAACGGGATCGGGTGGTTTGATGCATGTCATCGTATCCCAATTGCGTAGATCGATGCTCATGATGTCAATCACTGGATTGTCTGGTCCAGACTCGATTATTTACAGACCGCCTTCATATAGCTGGAATATTGCTCACTGCGGCGTTAAACAACCAACCAACCAACCAACCAACCCTTACCAGTACATCATCTCACTTCTGTGGTGAAGCCTCGCGAACGTCATAACAGAAAGAATAACCCGTTCGACAAGAAGTATCATTATTGTCTAAAACTCATTACATCTACATGATGGCAACTGGGGAACACCATCCTTTATACTCTGAAAAAAAACTGATTAAAAGAGGAAAGAATCACAGTATCACAGCTAGTGACGTCACTGACAGATGGAGAAAGGTCGGGTGGAGATTTTGAGGGGGCAGAGGGTGCATCCCCCCCCCTACATACCCTCCTTCTCAGACACTTTGCATGCCAAACTTTACATTTAGACATCGTGTGTTCCCGTCAATTTTCAAATCCTGGACCCTCCTCTTGTCGTATTATTTCAACCGAGGGAAAATTAATCCAGTTTCATGTTATGAACAAATGAAAGGGTATTGTCGTTTCAACTCACCCACGCCGAAATAGAGGATGAAGAGGGTTAAGAAGATGAGAAGGAGTATGGTGCCAGTGCTCAGGCCGGTAGCCACCGCCAGACATCCGTCTGGGCATGCGCAGGGCGAGTACAACTCAAACTGGAAGGTGGTCGCGTTGTACATAGGCTCCAAGTCCAGTCTGGTAAACGTAGCGCAGGTCAGGTGAACCACACTGTTTGTCTTGTTGTCTGAATCAAATAATCATCAATCAACAAAATTATTCCATAATGAATGAGACACTGGCAAACACGGGTGAAAAGGACGAGCTTTTATATCAGAGCCCCGTTGCACAAAGCGATCTTAGCGCTACGATTAAGTCTTTGTTAAAGTATGGGAGTTACAAAAGTCTTAGCGCTAAATTTGCTCTGTGGGACCCTGGGAGAGATTTTTACATTGAGCACGTTCATGGCCCAACACGTGATTGGTTAATCTGAACAACGTCTTCTATGAAAAAATGGTTGGAACAAAGACTTGTTTCACGCTAAATTATTAGCAAAACACTTCTTATCCATACATTTTGGCCTTTTTTTCAATGGCTTTATTATGGACTCTTCTGATAAATCTAATTAAAAAAAGCAAAACCTGCTCATTCCTTAATGGTTTTACGCCGCTTTTAGCAATATTCCAGCAATGTCACGGCGGGGGACACCAGAAAATGGGTTTCACACATTGTACCAATGTCGGGAATCGAACCCAGGTCTTCGGCGTGACGAGCGAACGCTTTAACCACTGGGCTACCCGACCGCCCCAATAGCTAAAAGAAAGACAGTAGCGTTGTATCATAATACTCGAGGCGAACAGATCAAGGACTCAATGAATGCCTTCATTTCTAACACATGACAGGTGAGGTGAAATGGGGTTTAATGTCACGTCCAAGATTATTGCACTTATGCATGCACGCGTGTGTGTGGCTGCTTGTACTGATGCCGATTTATAGTGCTAGCACACTGAGATACCCCATGCCGCAGTTTAACATGAATACCCCACTCAGACACAGTATACTGCCTCCGAGCCGACCAGTCATTGTTTTAGCCCCTTAATGCCGAGCGCCACACAGGGTAACAACAAAGACGTGCCCAGGGATCGAACCCCGGACCTTCCGCTCTCCGGGCAGACGCTAAACCACGGAGGCGGTCCTAACACAAAACAGAATAAACACAGAAGAAAATCACTGTCACTACAGTATATATAGAGGATTCATCACGAGTGTTTTTTAATATGGGAAATATCAACCGAGTCTTAGTTAATCGGTATTTGCCGAGCCTTTGGCGAGGCAAATACCGATTAACGGGACGAGGTTGATATTTCCCATATTAAAAAACACTCGTGATGAATTCTATTTATCATTTTCACATTTTTGCTTCCAAATTAAGGAATAATTGCATTAAACATTAACATCAGCAACTTGTCGAAATCTTACGTATAGATCGTGCGTAGTGATACATGTTTTCCATAGCCATGTAAACCAAAATAAACAATTCGCTGAGAAAAAAAGTTCCTCGGATTATTTTAAACAAAATACTTGAACAGACTTTTGCAGAATAATTGAAACTTTAATAACGGTAACAACAACGATTCTGTGTAATCTGATTATATCTCTGGTGTAACTTCACTTATAATATATAGTTTCAAATCAAACCGCTCGCTCTTCCGGTTATCTAATTTGCATATCTAATTTGCATACTTATGTCATTGGGGTATGACATACATGTTTTTATGTCATAAGCTTATGTCATGGATAAATGCTTAAGTTAAATGATAAGATTATATTATTCCCTAAAATATATGGGGACAGTGGCGGCACCGTCGCCTTAGGCGCGGCACAGAGTTTCGTTCCTTACGGCACACGAGAAACCTATTATCGGGGGTTAGAATGCCCGTTCACCCCATTATGTTTCTAGTTTTGTCAGCATCGTGGGTTTCACCGAATGTCTAAAACCTGCATCATGTCAGGCTAACCTCCTGCGTCAACCTGACAAGCCGTGATATAACAAAAAATAATGTTCAAAGTAGCGTTAACTCACACAATCGATTGATAATATTTCAGTCCTTTCTGCCAAAACAGTATCGCATTGCAGAGGCGACAGAGCCGTGTATCATATTTGACATCAAGTCACCTTTATTAACATCAAACGAAAATACACAATGATAGAAATAACTATGATAGAAATAAATCACACTCAATTTGATCGTGACAGGATCATCAGTGCTGAGTGCGGCGTTTAACAACCAAGTGTTTTCTGAATATAGGGTTGGAAGAGTTACCTCCCTTTATACATCGAAACACGGAAGTGTTAACACATGAACATTAGCATTGGCATATCTCATGATGGTGGTGATAAAATAGACTGCTCGACGACCATTTATATTTAGACACAGTCTACTTACCCCTTGTCAAATACCTGAGTTTCCAGTTGGTTTTGATCACGTCAGTCTCGAACTTAGCCTTTGAAATTTCCCCTGTGGTGTTTGGGGACTTGCGAAGCTCGTCATTTCTGCAAATGGCGGCGTCGTTCACTCCTTGACCACAGGCTATTCCTGCACAAGGGCTGTATGTGTAGATATGTCCATCTCCCGCAGACTTGATTTCTAACAGCGGTTGTTTACTTCCATTGATCAAATGCAGATTGATCTCGCTCCCGTTGTTTAGCCGACATCGACAGGGATCGATCTGTACACAGTCATTGTCACCCAGCACAGGCGACACGAATGTCGGGAGAAGCAACAGTGTTATAATAAACATAGGTACAGGACCATACCTTCTGCTGAATCAGGGTTGAATCATCAGGGGAGGGGATATTCTCATTTGAGTCGTGATTCCGCCTCAGCTGTGTACTGATGTAAGGGACATAACCCGTGCTGTCCTGTTCGACCACTAAATTTTACAAGGCACGACGTGACTCTCAGTATTCGGGTTCGAAACCAGTACTTTACACAATCAAAAACAAAAACTATATTTTAACTATATATGTGACATTTGTTGCTTCAGAAATAAAATCGACGTATTTAAGTAACTACACTATCTCTCCGCATGCTACCTTAGAAATTATGGCTCTCTTTGTCAACTTGGATAGAGTGTTAATTGCCTGAGTCAAATGAAGCTACGATGTATATAATATCAAACAACAGATTGTTCGTCTATGCATCTTATGTGACTGTACTCTTGCTGGGAAAAAACATATGGAAAATAAACTCCAAACACATGCTATCTATTTTTTCTGAATTTACAAGATATGTTTCAGATTATTTAATATTCATTTCATATGTAGTAGTATTATTATAATTATTATAATTATTTTTATTATTATTATTATTCAGGTTTTATACGTCACATGGACGTCAACGCTATTTTAAAGCTCTAAATACATATTTGCGACATTTGTGAAAATAACTTTCTGTTTAAAACGGCTAAAGCTGATCAGTGAACGGTCCGATGCCGTTTATGTGCAGTGATGCTGGGAGACACAATACCTGTGTCGGTGAAACGATGCATAAGATACTGCAACTAAGTACATGTGTTATCGAGCATGCAGCATTGAGTATGTGGGAGATTATATTTCATTTGTTTGAATTTTATGAAAAGGAAATAGGGTGAGCCATCATGATTACTGTCAAGAAACATTTGCAGACCTGATCCTAATTCCATTTATTTCCTTACATCCTGACTATTTCCATACACCCAGTCTAGGCCCTTACACGTCTCATACATCCTGACTATTCCCATACACCCAGTCTAGGCCCTTACACGTCTTATGCATCCTTACTTGTCCCATACACCCTGACTAGGACCTTACACGTCTCATACATCCTAACTATTCGCAAACACCCAGTCTAGGCCCTTACACGTCTCAGACATCCTGACTATTCGCATACACCCAGTCTAGGCCCTTACACGCCTCATACATCCTGACTATTCCCATACACCCAGACTAGGCCCTTACACGTCTCATACATCCTTACTAGTCTCATACACCCTGACTAGGCCCTTACACGTCTCATACATCCTGACTATTCCCATACACCCTGCCTATCCCCTTACACGTCTCAGACATCCTGACTATTCCCATACACCCAGTCTAGGCCCTTACACGTCTTATTCATCCTTACTTGTCCCATACTTCGAGACTAGGCCCTTACACGTCTCATACATCCTGACTATTCGCATACACCCAGTCTAGGCCCTTACACGTCTCAGACATCCTGACTATTCGCATACACCCAGACTAGGCCCTTACACGTCTTATGCATCCTTACTTGTCCCATACACCCTGACTAGGCCCTTACACGTCTCATACATCCTTACTATTCGCATACACCCAGTCTAGGCCCTTACACGTCTCAGACATCCTGACTATTCCCATACACCCAGTCTAGGCACTTACACGTCTTATGCATCCTTACTTGTCCCATACACCCTGACTAGGCCCTTACACGTCTCATACATCCTAACTATTCGCATACACCCAGTCTAGGCCCTTACACGTCTCAGACATCCTGACTATTCCCATACACCCAGTCTAGGCCCTTACACGCCTCATACATCCTGACTATTCCCATACACCCAGACTAGGCCCTTACACGTCTCATACATCCTTACTAGTCTCATACACCCTGACTAGGCCCTTACACGTCTCATACATCCTGACTATTCCCATACACCCAGCATATGCCCTTACACGTCTCAAACATCCTGACTATTCCCATACACCCAGTCTAGGCCCTTACACGTCTTATTCACCCTTACTTGTCCCATGCACCCTGACTAGGCCCTTACACGTCTCATACATCCTGACTATTCGCATACACCCAGTCTAGGCCCTTACACGTCTCAGACATCCTGACTATTCGCATACACCCAGACTAGGCCCTTACACGTCTCATACATCCTGACTATTCCCATACACCCAGTCTAGGCCCTTACACGTCTTATGCATCCTTACTAGTCTCATACACCCTGACTAGGCCCTTACACGTCTCATACATCCTGACTATTCCCATACACCCTGACTAGGCCCTTACACGCCTCATACGTCCTGACTATTCCCATACAACCAGACTAGGCCCTTACACGTCTTATTCATCCTTACTTGTCCCATACACCCTGACTAGGCCCTTACACGTCTCATACATCCTGACTATTCGCATACACCCAGTCTAGGCCCTTACACGCCTCATACGTCCTGACTATTCCCAAACACCCAGACTAGGCCCTTACACGTCTCATACGTCCTGACTATTCCCATACACCCTGACTAGGACCTTACACGCCTCATACGTCCTGACTATTCCCATTCAACCAGACTTGGCCCTTACACGTCTTATTCATCCTTACTTGTCCCATACACCCTGACTAGGCCCTTACACGTCTCATACATCCTAACTATTCGCATACACCCAGTCTAGGCCCTTACACGCCTCATACGTCCTGACTATTCCCATACACCCAGACTAGGCCCTTACACGTCTCATACGTCCTGACTATTCCCATACACCCAGACTAGGCCCTTACACGTCTTATTCATCCTGACTATTCCCATACACCCAGACTAGGCCCTTACGCGTCTCATACGTCCTGACTATTCCCATACACCCTGACTAGGCCCTTACACGCCTCATACGTCCTGACTATTCCCATACAACCAGACTAGGCCCTTACACGTCTTATTCATCCTTACTTGTCCCATACACCCTGACTAGGCCCTTACACGTCTCATACATCCTGACTATTCGCATACACCCAGTCTAGGCCCTTACACGCCTCATACGTCCTTACTAGTCCCATACACCCTGACTAGGCCCTTACACGTCTCATACGTCCTGGCTATTCCCATACACCCAGACTAGGCCCTTACACGTCTCAGACATCCTGATTATTCCCATACACCCAGACTAGGCCCTTACACGTCTCATACATCCTTACTAGTCTCATACACCCTGACTAGGCCCTTACACGTCTCAGACATCCTGACTATTCCCATACACCCAGACTAGGCCCTTACACGTCTCATACATCCTTACTAGTCTCATACACCCTGACTAGGCCCTTACACGTCTCATACATCCTGACTATTCCCATACACCCTGACTAGGCCCTTACACGTCTCATACATCCTGACTATTCCCATACACCCAGTCTAGGCCCTTACACGTCTTATTCACCCTTACTTGTCCCATGCACCCTGACTAGGCCCTTACACGTCTTATTCACCCTTACTTGTCCCATACACCCAGACTAGGCCCTTACACGCTTCATACGTCCTGACTATTCCCATACACCCAGTCTAGGCCCTTACACGTCTCATACATCCTGACTATTCCCATACACCCAGTCTAGGCCCTTACACGTCTTATTCACCCTTACTTGTCCCATGCACCCTGACTAGGCCCTTACACGTCTTATTCACCCTTACTTGTCCCATACACCCTGACTAGGCCCTTACACGTCTCATACATCCTGACTATTCCCATACACCCAGTCTAGGCCCTTACAAGTCTCATACATCCTTACTTGTCCCATACAGCCTGAATAGGCCCTTACACGTCTCATACATCCTTACTAGTCTCATACACCCATACTAGTCCAGTACACCCTTACTTGTCCCATACACCCAGACTAGGCCCTTACACGTCCAATACATCCTTACTAGTCCAATACACCCTTACTTGTCCCATACACCCTTACATGTCTCATATACCCTTACATGTCTCATAAACCCTTACATGTATCATACACCCTTATACGTCTCATACACCCTTACATGTCTCATTCACCTGGCATGTCTCATACACCCTCACATGTCTCTAAACCCTTACATGTCTCATACACCCTTCCATGTCTCATACACCCTTCCATGTCTCATACACCCTTATACGTCTCATACACCCTTACATGTCTCATACACCCTTACATGTCTCATACACCCTTACATGTCTCATACACCCTTACATGTCTCATACGCCCTTACATGTCTCATACATCCTGACTTATTCCCATACATCCATACTAGTCCAATACACCCTTACTTGTCCCATACACCCTTACATGTCTCATATACCCTTACATGTCTCATAAACCCTTACATGTATCATACACCCTTATACGTCTCATAAACCCTTACATGTCTCATACACCCTTACATGTCTCATACGCCCTTCCATGTCTCATACACCCTTACATGTCTCATACACCCTCACATGTCTCATACGCCCTTACATGTCTCATACACCCTCACATGTCTCATACAACCTTACATGTCTCATACGCCCTTACATGTCTCATACGCCCTTACATGTCTCATACGCCCTTACATGTCTCATACGCCCTTCCATGTCTCATACACCCTCACATGTCTCATACGCCTTTACATGTCTCATACGCCCTTCCATGTCTCATACACCCTCACATGTCTCATACGCCTTTACATGTCTCATACGCCCTCACCTGTCTTATACGCCCTTACATGTCTCATACAACCTTACATGTCTCATAAGCTCTCCCATGTCTCATACACCCTTACATGTCTCATACGCCCTTCCATGTCTCATACACCCTCACATGTCTCATACGCCTTTACATGTCTCATACGCCCTCACCTGTCTCATACGCCCTTACATGTCTCATACAACCTTACATGTCTCATAAGCTCTCCCATGTCTCATACACCCTTACATGTCTCATACGCCCTTACATGTCTCATACGCCCTTACATGTCTCATATGCCCTTACATGTTCCATACACCCTTACATGTCTCATACACCCTTACATGTCTCATACGCCCTTACATGTCTCATACGCCCTTACATGTCTCATACGCCCTTACATGTCTCATACGCCCTTACATGTCTCATATGCCCTTACATATCT